GGGGAAACAGAGAGCGGTTACATTCCTCGCGGCTCTGTCCTCTCGCTGGCTGTCTGTTTGACTGACTGGTTCGTTGTTAAGGTCCACAAGCTGATTCTGGATCGCAGTCAGCTGAGGCGGAGGGCTTTCCCACAGCTGACCTGCAATCAGCTGGCAGTGAGGGGATGACCTACACTTCCATTATCTCACATTCCAAGAAGCTTACAGACATCAACTGTTACAACTATATGTGCAAAAATGTACTTCTCGGACCATGTTGAGCTCGGGGCAGAGAAGCTTGATGTATATTCAGAGGCTGCACCACAATGCAAGCATGTGCACATCAGTGGATTAAGCTGTCCTACTGTTCAGAAAGAGAACACAGAACAAACAATTTACAGATGAACATTTGCAATACAGGAGCAGAACTCACTTGTATCTGCTCAACCGCCCTTAATGATAACAGCTTTAATTCAACGAGAGTATCTGCCACACCCCAGTCAGGTTGGCCTGCTACGCTGAATCAACCAATCACACGCACACAAAAAGACAGACAACCAATCAAAGTGTCTGCTCCTTTAATTGTCTACAAACAGAGCATTGTCTATTGTTGTTTAGCAAGCAGGCTATTTGGTCAGCCTTCCTCAAACATTTCCAGCTGCCTTCATTCTTTTAAATTTTGTTCTGGAACAGGAAGGCGAGCACGGAGAAAACAAAGTATCCTGGCAGTTTATCATGCAGCAAGATCTTAGCCATGTAGTGACGACAGCAGGATGCATTGTTTGATCCATTTGTCCTGACAAAAATGTCACTCACAGCTCATCCTGAGCCAACCCGGGCCATCTGAACGGCTCCGCGTGCCTGCCAGCCAGCCAGCCAGCCAGTCACACAGAAAGCATGTGAAAGTGGGCGGCAAAAGAACAAACCAACATTGTGTCCAGCTGCCCACCTTGGCAGAAATGAAAAAAAAAAAAAAAAAAAGTTTGCAGTTGCAGGTCTGGTCATTTGTGGGGTCTGACTGGGGAGACGAGCTACAAACAAATTCATGCTGCTTAATTTGTGACACTGGAGGACACATCTGGACTGACAAAGCTGAAATAATTTTTAAAAACGTGATTTTTTTGTTTGATAAAAACAAATGTAGGTGTTTTTAAAGAACAAACAAGCCTAACTAAGCATTTCCTAAATTGCCCTAACCTGACGAAGTTAGAGCAATTGCAAGTTTTATTAAATGATCCCGTCTACATCCCCATCTTTCCATCATTCTCAGCTGTTAACTTTAATGTCACAAATCACAGTCCAGCTCCAATTACTTCTGTGCAAACAGGCTGACAGATTGAGAAGGCTGTCAGTGTAGGAAAATGAAGACAGATAAACATCAGTCAGTGACAAAACTGATTCTACCACTTTATCAACGCTGATTTATGAGGGGAAATGTCCCACGATTAGTTCTACACTCCTCATTTGAACTAAGGGAAGAGAACAAAATCATTATAGCATGAATGCAGAAGTTCTCTGGTAGTCTTTTGTCTTTGGCTGCACATATGTTTTTCTGCAAATACCAAAACTGCTCTGATTTGCATGCTTACTTTGGGTCATTCACTTACTTGCATGATGAATGATATTTTTTTTTATCATCAAAAGTGTTATCTTTTTGTGAATTAAGCAAACATTACTGCATCTGAGGGGAACAGAGGGAGAAGTAGTAACTAATCTGATTCAAAAGTATATCACTTTGATAAATAAGAACAATCAATCACCAGTTATGACGACAGCTCCAAGCCTTTTGGCTCGTGTACTTCACTGCTTTCCTTGTTAGCTCATCCACCCACATAGCTGTACTTTCGCCATGCCTCATGACATGAGAAATACGTGCAGCCTAACTGTCGCTGAGAAGCTGGATTTGCATGTACTGCCTGTGACACTGCGGAGAGTTACAATAAAACCTCTGGTGCCGTCACTGCGTACTTGGACATGTTTTAACATGTGGTGGATCCAACAGCAGCGAGAGAGACGTAATAACATGTTTGTCAGGCGAGGAGCTTCTCCTCTAACAAACTGCAGTTAACTGGACTCAGCTGGGCTCAGTCCAGGTACTCTGGGGTGTTGAGAAATGCTGCTCAATGTAAGAACTGGACAACTGGAAATACACTGCAAGTACTAACCGGTGCTTCTGCCAAACATACACAGACTCACACTGAACGTCTGCTGAAATATCCATATACCAAGAAACACCCAAAACAAGTTATTTTTTGTGCAGAGTGGATCTCTTGTCTGCAGGACTGGGAATCCTTGACAGCATAAATTTTCTAATTTCAAATTTTTGGTTTACTGAAAAAATAAAGAGAGATGAGGTAGGCACTATCAGACAAAGTCCTAATATTTGAGGGGTCCTTGTGGCTCCATTACTTCAGGTATGAACTATGCACCTCCAGTGTAAACTAAGGGCTATCGTGCTCTGCTGTGGACACCAAATTAAGTCAAGATTGCAAAAAAAATAACTAGGCATTGCTGTCATTTTCCCCTCTTGTATTACTCAACATGGCAAATATACAAGAGTCAGCATTATGGAAAACTCTACCTCCGACAAAGCGGTTTTGACCTTACAGGCTCTCCCCTCACACACTCAAAGACAAACCCATTCCCACACTCATTATATCCACATTTCTCTTATATTACAGGAGGCATTTGCTCTCTTTTGCGCAATAACTGGCACAGTAAGCATGAATACACCTCAGGAATTTGCCCTTGGTTCCCCCGCCTCACCGGGGCCAGCACAGCTCAAGCTCGACGGGGGGACATGTCCCCAGCTTGTACTGTTCCCAATCAACCAAACACCTATGAGCCTCCACTGATGACTGCAGATTCAGGAACACAGAGAAATGGATCTCAGCCCAGGTTTGCACAACAATCCTCCCCCTGTTAATGATTGGTAGGTTAGATTTTCCTTTAGAAGAACTTTGACCTGTATGATCTCTAGACAAACAGACTTTCTCACACTCGAGTAACCAGCATGAGTTAGCAGTGAAGAAGTGGACCAGCCAGGTTTGATGGTAATGTGCAGGAACTGATGTTCACGGCTATAATGCTGAGTGGCCTAATAAAAATGCACGATTCAATGTTCGGCATGCTGTCACACCACTAGAAAGTATGCCAGTCATATGACTAGTTAGCGAATAGCATAGAGTGCGTAGTCTGGTTAGCACCGCACACACCCACACATAAAAACACACCCTTGCGATCATTCCAAACTGTCACACATCCGTCATTTCACTGCCGTCCAACTCCCTTAATCAAATATTGAGGGTGAAAAACTGATCTGAGAGAGGTTTACTGTTGTGTCCATGATCATTCAACGTAACGGATGCCAAAAGGGGGAACAGTGGGTAAATAAACAAGGTCACTATAGTCTGGTGAATATTAGTGGACAGCTTTCAGTGCCATCCTAGGGGGAGATGGCGCACAGGTAGCCAAAGTATTGCAAGGAACATTAGCATCGATTGTATCCATTAGTGGCATCTATTAAAAAACATGACATGGCATGAAAAAGAATTAGAGGATGAGAATTTGGATGGAGAGATTATGAAGATTGGGAGGGAGATTAGAGCAAGTGTTTTGGGCTGTTTGTTTAAGAAATAAAAAAAATAAATAGGTACAATGCTGTGTAAATGAAAGCCAAAGAACAGGGAAATGTAGGGCCCGATGAACCATATGGTGCCAGGTGGTTTAATTTTATTTGGTGTCTAAACTAAATGTTAATGCAGAACATATCTGTAGCTAAAATGTGCAGTCCCAGCTAGTAGGCGTTTAGTTCTGTGTGGTGAAATGAGTGTGGTAACAGAAACTAGTATGTCTCACGGCAGTGGGAAGAATTGGAGCATAGGTGCAACCAGATATGAACGGGAATCTGAATTTACAACGGGTGTGCTCAAATTAGCATTGCTCATGAAAGCTGTCTTGTTTAGTTTTAACACCTAGCTGTTGTAAACTCACTGTGGTGTTGGTGTGGTAATTGACTTCTCTCTTCGCCTGACCTGTTAAACCAGCACAGTCTGTCACAGGAGTTCCTCATTTACAAATGTATGTAATCTGTGAAGATGTTACATAGAACTGTTATCTCTCAGTAGCCTAATGTTTAGGCTACTGAGAGATGACAGCTTTTGAAATGGCTGTAAATCATTAAATACTCTGAGCATTTTTAAAAAGTTGCTAAGCATGCAAGGAATTTTACCAGCAGGGTTATAATGATAATTTCCCCCTCGGGTGCTTTTCCAAAGTGCCACGATTTGAACCTTGATTCAACAACTGCTTTCGGTTTTTCGATACAAACGATTCAATGTAGATTTAATGAACAGCAGCAGCTTTAGAGATAATGTCTCTACGTATCGGCCTTGAACACCTCGGTATCGGTCAGCTCTTCCTCTAGTGAGCAGCAGCAGAAACTCGCCTCGCCTCAGTCGGTCTTATCGGCCTCTAACCAGCCAGAGAAGTGGGACATGACGCCTTGATAACACACTAAACCCGTATAAAAACACCGCTTGACTGGCTATTTTAAGAAACATCTGCACAATCACAGTTTTGATTTTTGCAACAATGTGGCGCCCTGTTTCCGCTCAGCCAGGGTGGGGGGGGGGAAATCACCTTTGAAAGAGTGAAAGCAGCAGCTAATCTTAGACACATGCTTGGCTCTGCACACACAACCGAATAGTTTTTCTTTTACAGAGGAAAGGGAGACAGATTAGAGAAGGAGAAATCAGCATTTAATCAGAATGAAACAGTTTGACATTGAGAGCCTCGAGACAGCTCGGAGGAGAGGCAGGTTGGGAGGAAAATGGTTGAGCTAAAGTGGGGCATTGGGGGCAAATGCAGGGTTTGTAGAGCAAAACCGAGGCCCGTACTCGGTCTCTGACCTCCACTCGCCATCCCATCCCTCCCCTGCCATTTTCTTTCTACCCGCCGCTGCCGCCTCCTGTCAGCCCGGCTCGACTCGGCCCAGCTGGGCCTAACTTTGGTCCCCTTACCTTCCTCTGCTGTCTCTCCCAGGCCGGGTCCAGCAGCAGGTCCCGGTCCCAATCATTCTCTTGCTCCATGTAGGTCTGAACCCCGCCTGACGAGGATTGGTTATTAGCAGAATGATAATCTACCATGTCCTCACAAGAAACCTGAGTGCGCCACGGAGATTGCCTACTATCAAGGGGAAAACGTCCAAAAACAAATAATAAGAATGAAAAATAAGCAACGACTGTCCAAATCAGAGAGGTGAGAAAGGGGAGGGATACACGACCCAGGAAAGTGTCCTTCTCTCGCCGCTTCCAGCAGTGAGTGAGTTTTTTTTAATGTGATGAATATACGGCGTGTGCAGTCAGAAAATCCCCACTGCTGCTGTGAGAAGAAAAGCTTTCCCTCTGAACTGTGAGGGTGCTGGGAGGAACCGACCGCTCCTACAGGCTGCAGCAACACCAAGCGGCACGCACCGAGGAGCGACGCTTCCGGTGTCACCTTTCAGCGTAATAAAAATGTAGGCTTCATGTTTTCACTCCAACTGCCCACACCGCCACTGACTTACTTGGACTTATCTCTTTTTTGTTTGTTTGTTTGTTTGTTTAGTTCAGTTCACCATTAACACAGGGTCTATTGTTCTTCCTCTTACACAAAATTACTTTGATTTTCTTCACTGTTTTTGAATCAAAGAAAATTTTCACTCAACATGTTTTTTGTTAACAAAAAACATAAAAAACGATTAGAAAATAAGAAATAGGCTATTTAATAAATTATTAAATAGTCTTAATGTTGATCCTCCATAATAATATAAATGCATTGGCTTTTTATTATACAAAATAAGTTCAAAAGTAGCTAAATTTGGGATTTCTTGTGCAATTTTGTTTTTGTAAATCCTCCCACGACGTTGTGATATTTTATTTTGAAGGCAACCTCGCTATTTTCCGGTGTGAATCTGTGTACCTTGACAACCTGTCTCCAGTAGCTTCTACAGGCTTAGACAGCTCATGAATATTAATATGCATTTGAACGTGAGCTATGGAAACAATAAAACATCATAAATCTCAAATATTTAAACGCTGAAAAACTTTTATTATGTGATGTCCCATAGTAGGTTTGCTGTTCTTTTCATGTTGTGTTCAGAATTGTTGTTCTGAATTTGGCAGCATTGCAGACTTGGTCAAGTTGTAATTTATTACTGCAAAATATTTAAGCAGACAAAACATATGGGTTGCAGATGAATTAGCTTCTAGCACGGAGGTTTTAAATTCTCTTGATTTAAAACACATTTTATTTTGTAGCCAAACTCATTCTGATAGCTAACAAACCATGCTATGCTGTGTTTTAAAAAATTGGATTTACATTTCTTGCTGCTCCTGGCAGCCATTGGCTTCCATTGATTTCTGTACAAAAGTGATTGCATTATCTTTATGTGTTAATTCACTGAAGATTATTAAAATCAATCTACAATAAAGCTTCAAGGTCACGCAACTATAATGTTACTTTGACAGAAATTAACACAGCATTTATGGTCACTGTGATGGTTTACACAATTTTCACGTCTATTTCCACGTCACGTATCAAAATATATGTGCAGGTAGCCTGAAAAGAAAAATCTAAAAATCTAAAACTGTACAGAATGCATTTTAAAATAGTCAGAAAAAATGTCACTGTATGAAAGGTTTATTTGGTGGACAGCTTCTCCCTGCTCATCTCTGAATTTTTTTGTTGATCTAACATGAGTGTCCATTGTATCATTTCAGGTAAATGTAACTAACATGACCACACATTTCTAAATTAATTTAAACAATTTAACAATAAAAGCTCAACAATGTACACACTTTATTTTTCTTGTTTTTTCATAAATAAATCCCATCACTTTTATTTTTTAAATGTTGACCTTATTGTGAACCAAAAATCCAACCAGGAACTTCATGCTGAGAAATAGTACTTGTGCTCCATGCTCTGAAGTCAGTGGAGTTATCCAGCTGATACAGGCCCATGATTCTGCAAGAACTGCATTTTGCATAGTGATGAATTAGATTAATATTAACCAGAACAGGAAGAATATTTGTTAGTGACAGCTAGTGGTTCTGGGAGACGACCTCTAACCATCACAAGATGATGTGGGACCAGAAAGTGCTTAATCTGATGTGAAACAGAAATTTAATTTAGATTTAAAGTCAGTGATTATTCTAATTCTATTATTCTCTAATTCTAATGTTTTCCTTGTAAACTGTCAAGAGAGTCTAATGTCTCGGGCTCCTCTGATAATGGGGGGAAAAAATGAAACAACCTGAAAAGGGAAAATCAATCTTTAGTGGTTAATTCATGCCCAGCCTGTGACCATCAAGAGGTCATGATCCAAACCACTGACCCAGAGGACTGACACCCATAAAACAGAAAAGCCTGAGCTGCGGTATCATCCATTACATCTGCCGGGAAGAGGCGCAGGCTGGTTCGCAGGGTGAGTGTCCTGCTTGCAGGAGCCACCTACAGAAGTAGGTCATGCTCAAGCTGTCCTGGTCGATTAGAGTCACTGCGACGCAGAGCAGCGTATAGACTGTGGCAGGACCATGCCTCAGCTTTGATGTTATCATGTGATGCAATATAGTGCAGCTCGGCCACTAACAGCTCTGTGATCGGTCACAACTGCCCTGAGTCTGGGTTTATTAGCAGGAATGAGCCGCTTAGTAATGGTCTGTTTTTATTTTTATTCACAGAGGGACAGAACAAAGAGAAGTTGAGTCCCAAATGTAGCTGGTTATGTTTACACAGGAGGTGATGATATCAATGCTGAAGCCCTAAAACTCACTGTTTTGTGTGTGTGCGAGCAACACATCTCAAAGTTTGTACTTATCCTACAAACAACACGTTTATGCAGTCTTACAGAAAGTGACAACAACATTTCCATTAAAATACTGTGCAGAACCATGTTGAATAGACTTAGTTTCACCCAAAATGTGTCTCTGTTTTTGGAAACAGTTTTCATTTAAACTATTCTCTATCAAAGAATCAAAGAAATTGTACCAATGACAGCTGTCTAAAGTAATTTCTGTTCTGTTATCTAGTGTACCAGGAGCTCCATTTCTGGAAAAAGATGTTGCTGTTAAAATATTAAATTCTGTTCTCCTCCATTGAACTGAAGTGGCAGCAGATATTTTAGAGACGGATATCTCAATAAAAACAAAAACTACCTGCAAAGACAAAGAGTAAGTGAGAAAATATGTTTTTTTAGTTTGTTTATTTACACTGAACTAAGCCTTTAAATTTTTACTTGTACTAGCTGCCACCAGATTCACCTGCATTTAGTTCTGTAACGGATGCTTGTGTAAGTTAGTTATACGTTTTCTTTTTAAATCACTAATTTCACATTTGGGTGAACTGATCCTTTATTTGTAATAAACGTCCCTTTAGGTTTTGTTCAGGATTTATCTCATATTTTATGTAAAGAAACACCCACTGGTTGAGCCCATACAGTCAGGGAAAATGGCTTTTATTTTCATATAAATAAGTTCATGTGGGATTAAACAAGAGTGAGAGAACAAGAGAAAGTGAAAAAAGAGTTGAATAATACTCTCAGTACTTGAGAGGTGGAAGAGACAGAAGGAAGAGATAGCAAAAAAGTTGTTAAGGTGTGGCTGATGTATGACATGTCATCCTAAAAATGAGTTTGAACCAATACATCAGTAGTGAAACTAGTTACTGAACACACACACACACAACCCATTCGTATCTCTGCCTGTTTTCACTTTGAAGAATGATACTGGAAGACGGATATTTACACATACCAGACATCAGCAAAGAACAGAGGGTCATTTCTCAAAATATCCCCTGCAGTCGGGGTCATTGCAGAAACAGACCCTGTAGAAACATTGCAGAAAACAGTCAGGACCAAAGAATCCAATAAAACATTCAGACGCACCAAAAATGTTTGTGACATCGATTTGAAGGGAGTGCCTGTGATTATCTGTGACAGAGTTTTTGAGGTCAGAGGGAGAGATGAGTGCTTTTTAAAAGTAGTTCAGACATAACCAAATGACTTGCATGCTCACACAAACAGCACATACATTTTAATCAGCTTTTAAGCAAATGAATGTGATTCTGTACCAAAGTGAAGGGAGCACACTGGAATGGGTTGTCTTATTTCATTTTACTTATTTATGTTTATTTTTTACCTTTACACATCCTGTTGGCCATTCTTTTTGATCCTAAAAATTAAAATAATACATAATTAATACATAATTAATAAACTGGTAGCCCTAAAATAAACTGGAAGAAAGAAAAGAAAAAAAGACTTCACAGACGTTGACTCTTTCTAAACAATCACATCAAATGGCAAATGGAAGAAATTAGTTAGAACCACTTTATAAACATATTTTACAATTGTGTACAAGGCATCAATCCAGTAGGATAAATCGATCATTTAGTATTCAGGATCACTTTACTGGAAGGCCAGCATGTTGCCACTAACTGTGTTTCACTTTAGCTTTAAGACATTACGATAATAATGAAATGCACAATGGAGGATAATTAACTAATTAAATAATTGTTGTTTGAAGTCCTAATTATATAAATGAGTGTACTATAATGTATTGAAAATGAACATTTAAAATGCCTAAATAGCAAAAATCAAACAAAGAAATTGTGTTACAAACAAATAAGTGTTATAATAATACACATTGTTAGATGTATCTCCTTTTTTATATGCATTTACTGTGTCACAATTAATAGGTGTAGTTAATTGTATTTCACTTTATTTTTTGTTTGATTTTTTTTATGCAGGCATTTTAAATCGTCCATACATTTAATAAAACCACCGATGAGCAAAAATGATCTATTTAAGTCTTGAACAGTTAAAGGTAGTTATTTTACACTGCTGTTTCTTATATGACTGGAGTGGGACCGGGTCCAATATCCATAATTAAGGCTCAGAAATGACAGCTGAGGGGACTATAAAGGTGATCATCATCAAGTTTTATTCATTAAATCATTGAGGTGACCTTTGATCAAGTGTCACCAACACAGTGAATCATAAACTTCATCCCATCTTGCTTTGACCTTCCACCTCTGTTGTTTTCACAACTGAAGGGAATTCTTAAAGGTGTTTCCATTGTTACTGTTTGATTATATGATGAAAGCATACAAGACGAACAATATAGCTGTTGCTATAGTCAGGGGTGGGCATTTTTAGAAGGAAGAAGAAGGAGGAAGAGGAGGAGGCAGACATGAGAAATACAGGAGGGTCCGTCAGCAGAACTGTCCAGACCAAAACTGCCATTAAACCTTAAAGTCATGAGTCTCTAATCCACACAGCACAATGCCTGAGTAGGTATTAGCATGTTTATTCTGCATCACCCAGGGCTCAAACTCTCAACCTTAAACATTAAACACAAAGGGCAAACCATGCATGGCTTCACCCTTTGGCACAGACAATCACCAGGCACGTAAAGGGAGATTTCAAACTATTTTCAAAAAATGCAGTTATCAAGACAATATTTAGATTATTAATAGAGAGATTTTTTGTACTTAAGCTAGACAGCACAAAAATGTCTGTATTTTATTTTTTTTCACAAATACTTATCAAATCTCCATTTGAGATACAATTCTGAAATTTACCAAACTACATCTATCATGACATCAACATTTTGTCATTTTTTTATGAACATTGGAACAAATTGATACACCGTGGGCTCAGTTTTTGATAATTCAAAAATCTGTCTGGATCGTTGGATTGTGGAGGACAATCTACTTTCACACATCTGGCAAATAATGGCACATTAACTCTAAAATTTAAAAAAGCAAATCCTGATGAATCCGTAAGGTCCGGGAGTGAACCAGGTCAGGTCAGTTGTACATGGTCATGTGGAGCCACTAGAACCAATCAGAGAACAAAACACTTTGTAAAAGTAATATAAATATCACATGTGTATTTCATTTTCAATTCTTCATTCAAAGCATCTGTTACTAAAGCAGATAAAGAAGGAGTCAGTGTTGTGCAGATTTAAATTCACACCTGTCTGTAGCTGATGGCTATGGTTCCCATCCCCACCATGTCGTACGCTTGAAATTTGCCTGTAAAACAGGATAAAAACAATGAAAACGTACAAACATCTGAACTGTGGTGGCTCATTCCCCTGCCCTGCAAGGCAAAACGCCACCCATCTGCACACGATGTAAGCCAAAACAAACTATGTAAAGTTTTGCTGCTGCCAGCTGAAACCCGAATGTTAGTTTTGGCAGCGGATTTTGATAGATATGACTTTATATATAAATGTAATTGTAGCCATTTGATTATTGCCACTTTCAGTCCAGTTTTACTTGCTGACTAAAGTTGTACCATTTAATGAAAACCTTATGTTTTAGCTTTATAATCCAGTAATATCCAAGAAGGAACAGAAAGCAACTGAAACACATCTCTCGTCTGTTTTGACAGTATCACAGTTAAAACTGAATCTTAAAGTTGAAGTAAAACACTTTCTTACTGCTCCCTGAGTTGCCATCTTTGTTGTGTGATCTCACTATGGTTACATGTGTTGTATTTGTGTTTCATGGGTTTAGCTGACAAAGAACCGGCTCTGTGTGTTTGTCGATCCATCTTTCACATTAGCATTTAACATTTAGTTTACATTTGTGGGCAAGAATTGAAATATATTTTGTCATAGTTTTTGTTTTTCAAATGTTAGTTTTAATTGAGTTAGTTACTGTTTCATTTTCAACGTGGAAAAATTGCCATCAACAAATATTTTTGTTTCTTGTTCGTTCTTCGACTGAAACCCTGTATCTTCTAGATGACAACCTTGTTTATGGCTGTTTTTTTATGTCAAGAATCGGTTGAAGAGTTTTCCCAAAGCACAAAGTCACATTAAGGCCTTTAACTGGAGTTAAAACATTAAAATCACCAAAAGTAGAGCTACACATTCATTTGATGGCAGCAAAATAGTTTTTTAAAGAGAGGTAAGGTGTAATTATGATATAAGCATAACTAACATTGCTTAGTAAACTATAATAATAATAATATATATATATATATAGATGTTATATTGATTATTGATGAGGCATGCTTGATATTTAGAAAGTTAAATATATATAACCTTTCAAAATATCAAACATGCATGAAAATATCATTCTCTCTGCCTCTCTTATTGTTCCCACGCCTCCTCATTCATCCTCTCTCCCCTCTGTTTCTCCTCCTCTGTCCCTCTTCACATTCTCTTCTTCTTTTTCCCTGTAGCCATTTGATGTGTTCACATCACATCATTACTGTAAATACAGACTCCCTGTTGGGGAAAACTGTACATGTCGGCCTTGTAGTGGTATTCACCAGCAGGATGTGTTAGATTTAATTATTTTGAATACAAGCATTTAAGTGACTTAAACATGTTATTTTTTCTAATTTGTAGCATTAAGCACCTCTCCATTTATATTATTTTATTATCATATTATATTATTTATTCTCTTACGGATCATGCTCTCCAGCTTCATCAGCAGGTACAGGAAGCCGGGGTAACTGATGGTCAAGTCCGGCTCTGTGTATCTCAGTCCAACCATCTGCATTACCAAATCATCCACCACGATGCCTGGAGCAGAAAAAGACCAGACCAACAAACCCAGGTCAGAATAAATTACTTTATTCAGCAGGTGCAGTGACAATGGGTGGCACATTTTCTCCTGTGAGGCATACAACAGTCAGGATGTGGTAATTTTGTTAGGTCTAACTTGCATGTCAGTTCAGCGTACCAACTAAAATGTTAGTTTTACACATAGCATTATTCCCTTGCTGATATTTTACTGACTTACTGGTATTTCTCTTAAGTAGAAATACAAATAGCAGTTCAGTAATATATCTGATTAAAGTAAAAAGCTTACTTCTTACTGAGTGACTTATTGTGGGTGAACAAAATGATGGGTGTGATTTTTATGACTTCAAAAGGCTGAGAGGACAAAGTTCACACTAGGTTATATAAGTGTACAACATTTCAAAGTGCACCACCAAAGGAAGGCCAGAATACTGAATTTGAAGTTGTTTGGAAGAGGTAAAGAGAGGTGGTTTGGCTCCCCCTGTGGGTCAAATAAGTTTTCCTGCCAGCTAAAATCAGAATCCAACAACAGCTGTACACGTGTTACACATATGCTGCTAGATGCCGGGTGAATGAATGAGTCTATTTATTTATGTCGCTGTGTGTCCTTAGCCCTACCTGCTGCCTTCAGAGCGGGGCTGACCTCTTGATACTCAAGCCGCTGATTTTTATTCTTGTCCAACACAAGGAAGATATCCTGAGGAGAGATTAAACACAATATATGGAGTGCATGACAAACTGCATATACACTGACATAATGTCTGGCTCAATTGTGTTTTTGGTCAGAGAGTTGTAAAAACTTTGCTGTGACTGTTTAAAGCTACATGATACAAGATACAAAAAAAGAAAAATATTACTTGTTACTGGTGCGATAATCTTACCGTCCACTTCCGGATTTTGTCCCACAGACCCTGGAACTCTGGCCAGTTTAGCTGAGCAATGTCTTGGCTCTAGGGAAAACACTGAGGTCACGGAAATTAACCAGACAAATCCAAACAATCGAACATGAACCCGATCACTAAACACCTGTCAGCACTTTTATGCAGAGTTACCAACATGTCTTTATCAGGTAGGTAAGTGTAGAGTGTGTGTGTATATATAGACAGAGAGAGATCATCAGCACACATACACATCTACCACTAATTAAAATACTAACCTAATTTTCAGAGCCTGGATAGCTCAGTTGGTAGAGCATCAGACTTTTAATCTGAGGGTCCAGGGTTCAAGTCCCTGTTCAGGTGAGAGAGGTTTGAAAGTGCTTTAAGCAGACAACAAGAAAATCATACAACAGCTGCTGTTTGTTTATATACATGTGTTTAATTATTTACAAGACTAAATGGTAAACAGTATTAACAAGTAACCAAGTAAGATATGGAAATGACAACATTTACCTGACACTTTTATCCAAAGCAACTTACAATTATAGAGGTCACACACTTCTGGAGGAATGAGAGGTTAAGTGTCTTGCTCAGGGACACGATGGGTCACAATGGGGGACTGAACACGGGTCTCTCACACCAAAGGCAGGCATCTTATCCATTGCGTCATCACCACCTCTTGTGGATACCTATCAAAATTTTACTTTGGGATGCTACTGTCCAATAATCTTAAGTACTAATACGGTTAGGATCTTTGCAAGATCTTCCTCTGCCGGATTTATTTTTTATTTATTTATTTTATAGTCTTTGTGTACTATATTTTTGGACAACATAGTACTACTATTACTGAATGTAATACTAACGTAAGTAGAGGCACAAAATTGATCTCTAAATTTGTGATGCTGCATTTTACTTAAGCTTAATGACTGACTTCCAGAGTTGCAGCAGTTTTCCTATATTGGGAGATTTAAAACTTCTCTCGCCTGAACAGGGACTTGAACCCTGGACCCTCAGATTAAAAGTCTGATGCTCTACCGACTGAGCTATCCAGGCTCTTCTCACAGTTTCTCACAGCATACAATAAGAATGCAGTCTTCAAATCTGCAATTACACATTTGCAATTTTAAAAATCTTAAATTGGTTTCATTTGTATGTGAAAACTCAAGGTGTCACATTTTACAAATGTATTTAAAAAGAAAAGAAAAGCAACATACCGACATAATTTAACATGATCAGATAAGACAGACAGGTCATCTCTCTGCTAACACTGAAATGTTGAATGTGAAAAAGTTTTAAAAATATATATCTTTATCTCCCACACTGTGTGTGCTTGTTCAGATATAATATTACTGTTTAAGGATACCTCCATGAGGACCACCATGCTCTTGCAGTGCTCCAGAGCCAAGTACTTCTCACTTCCGGCCAACACTGAGCACAAGGTCATCAGTGGACATTTTAACATGCAAAAAAGAATTGTAAACTTATGGTGAATTTTGTGTTATTGAAGCATGAGGCTGAGTTTTTTAAATTCAGGTTGATGTTTGAATACTGCTAGTTGTATATTTTATGTCAAGGCGGGGGTGCGATCTGCAACTGCTAGGCAATCAGATTCATGAATAATGTTTTTGTTATGTTAATGGTACTCAAATTATATACCCTATTTCAGTACAGATGGGCATGGACCCACAAGACTAAAAATATTCTTTGGGTGGAAAAAAATGCTACCAGTGTGCTTTAAAGATTTGCAGTATGCAATTTATCACAAAAATGCAAATACACACACATTCGCTCCTTCTCTTGTTCTGTTTTATCGAGGGCGGGGTCAGCGGGCAGGAGACGAATCGCTGCCAAACACGTGATACTAAAGTCAAGAGGTAACCATTGTGGAAATTGTTTTGTTATTACTATAATTCAATTAAATTCAATTCAAATTAGCTTTATTGGCATGAATGTGTAACAACAATATTGCCAAAGCATCATATATAACTATAACAATCATGTGCTGCAGCTCTGTACACAGATACGAGATCAGGGATGACTTGTGACTTGAAGATTAAGATGAAACCAACAGAAAGCAAAGCTTGTGGTGATAAACTTGCAACAGTGACGAATGTGCCTGAGATCCCTAGAGAGACATCACTAACCTCCTCCCTTTAAGGCCTCATTCAGCAGTTTGTAGAGGTTCACTGGTTTGCAAAACCCATTCTGATGACACAAAAGAGGAAACACAAGACACACACACACAGAGACACTACTCTTTATACATCTACATTCAAAACACAAGCACAGCTCATAACAGTTTGTGGTTTAAACCAATAATTGCACATAACTAGCAGTGTTTGTATTGACCTGCTCAGAAGATCAGAAGGGTGGAGTTTACCACACCATAACAGAGAAGTGCCAACTAACTCAGAGAACACATTTTAACTGAGTTTTTGTGCTTGTCTTATCAGTGTGGGAAAAAGGATGGTTCCATTGTTGCAAACATTCATGTGGTACAGCAGCTGTGTGCAGGTAAATCTCACCTTATCGCAGTGTTTCATGAACAGCTGTTTGGTAGATTTAAGCGAAGGAAGGGCAGTCTCGTGAGGATATGAAGGCTGCGGGGAGAAAATGCAGAGCCTCACTTCAGAAACAAGCTTTAACTTTTAAAAATAAATGCCTCCTGTACAACGTTTTAGCCATATATTGAGCTTTGCAGTGTTTTCCTTGTCTACCGTGTATCTTGTTTTAAAAAATGTTGCCCTGAAACAGAGATTGGAACTTAAACCTCTGAGAGAGAATATTTTGCATATATTTGTTTTTCCTACTAGAGTGGAAGGCATTGTTTTGTTTTTGGCTGGCTCTTGCTGCACAGATTAAGACCAACTGCATTTAGACTCAAGTTGCAAGTACTGTCCTGTCAATGGAGCTTGACAGTATTGCATTGTGTGGCGCACCATCATCTGACAGCATTGTCTAAACTTACATACTACATAGACATACATAGACAGACAACCATTCACACTCACAGTCACAAATTAAACTAGTCTTTATGTCTTGAGACTTTGTGAGGAAACTGTGGCATAAAATGAAACCCATGACCATAAAAGAGCCGCACCTGAAATCCACATGTATCCACTATTACTATAATATATTATTAACAAAATACTTTCTAAATACTTTGCAGTCAGTCATGGAATTTAACATGTGGGGGAATTTCAACAGAGCCTGGATAGCTCAGTCGGTAGAGCATCAGACTTTTAATCTGAGGGTCCAGGGTTCAAGTCCCTGTTCAGGCGAGAGTTTTAAGACGCTTGGATTCAATACTTCAGTTAAACCACTTGCTGTGGCTGTTTCTTAATTAAATAGTTTCCTGTCTTTGCGAGTAACTTGCAGGAAAGCAACGTATTTTAAGGAATGTACCATAGATGTCAAACTGCAACTATGGAATGTGAAGTAAACCTAAACTTAATTTAAACTGTCAATTGAAAGTAAATTCATACACTACTTGATATTTTTGCAGCAGCAAGTAGCTCTGGCATGTCCTTTGTGGTTTGCATTGTGGTACAATAGTGTACATCAACAGCACAACAGCAAATCACATGGTTTAAATGTGCAAACTTTAAAAAGTCAGTTTGCATATTAGACAGCAAAAATAAAATATATGTAAAATATTCAATAGGTGATTCTGAGGTTTAGTTCAATTATATAAACTGACAGTTTACACTATGGATTATATACATAATTGTCACCGTACATCATATTTGTGGTTTGCATAAAAGAAATTTTTTTTTATGTATATTTTTGTTCATACTAATATACTTACACTTACTATGTGTAAAATGCTACTTTGGAATGCCACTTCAAAAGATTTAAGATATGTTTTTCTTTCAGAATACCAAATTTTTCCTGTGTGAACACACTATATGCCAAACCTGCTTAGAATCAGTATGCAGTAGCACACAGAAAGGCCAGTGGAACGGGCAGTACTAGGTACTGAGCCACTGCTTTCAACTTCACTATGTGGAGGTCAGTGACCAAATGTCTGTGTAAACAACAAGATCTTTTTTCTACAGTTGCCGCGTGCTTCAAGCTATTATAAACATATCTCTCCTGAACAGAGAATTAAACCCTGAACCCTCACATCAGTAGTGCAATGCTCTACTGTCTGGCCTATCCAGGCTTCACTGAGACCCTCTCACTTTTAGGCAACCAACATTGATTAATTTAGTTTGAGCCCAGTCTACTTCACTAGGTGAATAATTTGATAATTATTTATTTAGTAAGTGATTTAACTTGTTGTCCACCTGTGTTGATGGAGAGATTTCTTTTGCCTTTGGACTGTGAGCTGGACTGGGAAAGAAAGCATGAAAACATATTAGAATCATCACACTTACAATCATAAATCCTAAAGTCCAACAACTAAAGAACTTGTCAGAGGTTCAGATTTCCCTGTTAAGTCTGCAGTGTTCAATAATAGTTCCTTTTACTGAGTTAATTTCTCCCATTCATATCTCCTGACCTGCAGCTGTGTGCATTTAATTATAACAACAATTTATGTATTCTTGAATATTAATTTATAGTGGTTCTATGAAACAGCAATATTATATCTGAACAACCTGAAACTCCATTCTTATTTTTTTCTTTCATTCCTCTCGGGGTGAGATGGGATACAGAGTCCTTGAGGTTTCTTTGTCTCATCAGCAGATTTGGAGGTTGTCTTTTTGCCTGTTCATCTTTTTGCACTCAAAACTTTTTTTACTTTTTTGTCACAGCTCCAGTGGCATGAAAACAACAAAATCTAAACTCAGTCCATCTAACAGATTGATCCATGACTCACGTGGCAGCATTGCCCTGCTCCGTCAGCACCCGCAGTAGGAACTCTCCCTGCTGATTGGGCTCTGCAGTTGAAGGGATGATGATGTAACGACCTGGTGGAAGGGAACCGCGAAGAAGAACCTCCCGACGTGAGATGTACTGAGGGCTGCAGAGGACCGGGCGGAGCACACTTAAGTCCCCAGCCGTCAGATATGTATTCTTAGGATGGGCCTGGAGAGAAACCACTGGTTTAATATTGTGTGCAGGTTCAGATCTCTCTTCCAAACCTGCAGTATTAAATATACAACTGTGTGCACTCTATTATGAAAACAAGTTATGAATTCTTGAATTTTTAAATATTGATTTAAGGAACTCTCTAATATACCATGCAAACTCAAACACTGCATTCTTGTTTATGTAAAATCTTGACCAGAAAAGCAACTACACCTGTCAATAAATGGACTGATATAAAAAGTAAAATGTTTTCTTCTGAGATGTAGTGAAGTATAAAGTAATAATTGTCATTATGTGTCTTCCTCTGTGTGTGTGTGTGTGTGTGTGTGTGTGTACCGGGTATATATACAGGGCTACGGCCAGGTTAATGCCCTTACGTCCCAGGTGTTTCTGCATCAGAGCCAAAATGAAGGAGCAGGTCTTCTGAGTGTTGGCTGTGCCACTGTCCACCTCTGACAGGACAAAGTAGAACTGAGGGTTCTGCCAGAACAAACCTGGAAACACACGCGCACACTATTAGTATTACACTTTTCTTTATACTGCCTTCCTTAGCCTTTAACCCAAACTAAAGAGTGTGTACATGAATATAATTATGAATATGAATGTGAACATGGACTGTTTCCCTGCTTCGTCTCTCACTATTAGGACAACAGGTCAGCACAAACACTTCAAATAACTTTAACCTTAACACACACTGATTTCAAAGACATGCAACTTGCATATGTGGGTTAATACATTATGCAGACATATAAAGTCTCAAATAGCACCATGTCCGCTTCTACAAAGACCGAAGGTTTTCAGTGTGAATGCTCCCTCATGTAGAAGACTATCTGCTTACGCTGTCTTCTTTGTGCAGGTACAAACTTATGCTCAGTCACACTAACGTGTGCATTGGGCTATGGTATGATCAAATCAGATCTTAAAGTTGACATATGCAGATTTTACCACAAACTTTCAATATCATCAGTTCCATCTTTCAGTATATTTATACACTATATTAATGTTTTAAAAGATTTAATGTTGTGCGGTTAGGACAGGATATGGGTTAATTTTAAATTTTAAACTTGAGAGCAAACCTCCTGGAACATCGTTTCTATATTGAAACTGAAATGACAACAGTTTCCATGATAGTGTCCTTAAATGCCACAACTAGCACTGCCAATAAAAACACAGCTCTTCATGGTATCATCCCCACCACATTAAAACCTGAGAAAAGTGGAATACAAATAAAGATATTTTTATTGTAATTAACTGCTTGCATTATATTCAGTTCTGTAGCATGTAACGTGAAGTGTCACAAGTTCCTGTGCCAAGTGATTTACCAAAATAAAATAAAAACTGGGGTTTGTTGCTCATTTTAGTTGCGTGACTGTATTCTCATCCATATAACCACATCAATAAGAGGCTTTGTCTGAGAAGATTTTCCCAAAAAGAAAAAGGTTAAATCAGACCACACCTACACAGACAAACAGACATGCAAGAAGATAGACAGTGTGTAGTAACATGTCTCAACTTGATGTGAGAGAACAAGTAGTCCTATTCCCATTACCAGATTTAATTAAGTTAAAACCCCACATAGCAGACAGGGTGTAAAAATGACTCCAGTACCTTCAACTTAATCTACAATGTACATACAAGACAAGACGAAACAAGAAACACAAGACAACATAAGACAGACTTTATTTATCCCACACATGGGGAATTCACTAGTATACACAGTACAAACAAGGTAAAATACACATGCATACTTCACATTTTCAGATAAAAGCTGTTGTGTAACAAATGGCCTGTTTAACAGGTACAACAAATGGCTCACATAATACATTTTAGTTTTTTAGTTCTTTACTTAACAAAACTGTTCATTTTCACCAGTGGCCTAAATTAAACACAATAAACATAACTATATATATTTCTACAGCAATAATGCCAAAAACAACAATACAGTGGTGTGACTGTCATCACCCTGCTGTTCTGTCTTTTTAACTGTTCTCACTGAGTAATTTATGATTCCTAATCAACTCCGTTTCCGTTTATGATCCAAACACATGCAAAACACTTATCATGCACAAAACAATAAACATGCAGACTTTTTTAATCATGTCTCTTACCCCCTTGGTGAGAGCCTCCTGCTGTGGTGCCCGGCTCCCAGCTCCCATGAAGCATTATGCAGCTCCACGGCAGCTTGCTGGAGCCTTCGCTGAGATTGTCAGTCAGGTGACAAACCTCCATAATCTCAAATTGCTGCCGGAAGTCTGACACCGACATCCTGATGGAGAGAGAAACTGGTTAATATGTAGTTGTGTGTTTGTAATCTTTCCAAACACAAACACACATTAAATCAGATTGAGTTCCATTTGTAAGACTAGTTTTAATTTTTTAACTATTAACATATTTACTTATAAATCACTGGAAAAAAATGTATTCTCTCCATCATTTATAGATAAACCTGCAATTAAACCTTTTTCCAGATTATCAGATTATTTTCAACATGTTAACAGAGTCAGTCGTCAGCAGTGTTGCAGCAGCTGTGTTTATGCTTAGCTTTGCGTTACTGTCTGTCACACTTACATCTTTTCTTTGACAACTGAGAATAAAAAGCATGTGTTCATAATGTCAAGGATAAGCTGACTTGTCTGCCTTGCCTTGTTCCTGTTGTGGTTGAGACTCACATGCCAGAGTGTTTTGTTTCGTGTTTGAAGAAGGTGGTCATTAACAGTCAGACTCAGCAGTGTCATATATCACAGAGAGACATTCAGATGCACAATGGCGCTACAAACTTACCAGAACTCCCCGTCATCCAAGCTGATTCTGTCTAGTCTTTTCTGCTCTATGGCGCTCACTGTGTTCCACTCTGGACTGGACAGAGAAAGAGACACCACACAGAGGGGAGACTTTATATTTATGTCATAAATAAATGTGTAAAATATTATTTTCCAAATCATACCACTCTCTCAGGAACAGGTGTTAGCAAAGTAAGTTAATATGTTTGTTTTTCCTTACCCACAGAGACATATTCTTGATTACATTATAAAACACAGATAAATGGATGTTATATAAGTCAACATGCACAAATTACTTTTGAATGAAACATTTTTTTACTCAAAGCCGACTGGGGAATACTGCCACTGTGAGAAACAGTGACAAAGACAGGCAGACAGAGAAGAGGTGAGAAACATGAGAAGGTAGGCAGATGCAAATGAACATGTAAAACTACAAACACAAAAAAATTTCAGGTAGTTATGGAGGCAGAACAGCTATAAATAGTTTAGGCAGACTTCAGGTTATCTTCATTAATACATTTTCATTTGACATTTAAAACATTGAAAACCTGGCCAATTTGGCTCATCTAGATGTGTACCAACCCTTTCATGTCACTCCAGGGCCCCTCCCACTCCGTGTTGCCCCAGGGGTTGAGGATTCGCACCAAATCCTCGGTGCCGTATGTCGTCTTCACCTGCAAACAGACAGACAGAAAAGGTGAGAGCGGTGGGAAGGAGAGGCCACGATGAATCGACATTTCTGCTGTAAGGTCTACAAATACAAAGTCTACAAAAAGTGCACGTACGTGTCTTTTATTGCAGCATCAAATTTATTTAATCAGAGGGTTGTTGATAGTTTGTTGCTACCAAAACTGTATTTTTTTAAAATATGATGATGTTAACAAGCATTTGTTTAATCTTCTTTAGGTACCTTCTCTACTGCAGTCAGAGAGTAGGCATGTCTGAACATGATCCCGAATTCATTCTTTTTCTCCAAAGGACCCTGGAGGGAAAAAAACATCCACCCACAGTCAGGACAGAAGGAAAAGGTCAAATTACACTCATGTGACTCATCACATACATGTAAACCTTCAATGGCAACATGTTCTGCAGGGACCTTTCATCCCATCACTAACCGTACCCTGCAGTTGGCACAGCTGATGAATGCTCCTTTATCCAGCAGGTGTCTGAGGAAGGCTGGCAGGTCTCTGGGCAGTGAGACAATGTCAAAAACCTCCGCCACCCCGCCCGTCATATCAACCATAGCCTCATGAGGGAAGCCCATGTCCAGAGCTCTGTAGCCACCTTTGAGCCTGAGACAAAAGACACAGGGACGACAAAAACATCAGAAAGGTTCCAAGAGAAAGGTAAATGACTGGACAAACAAGGTGACAAAGTCTTATTGAGAATACAAAAGCTCGTGAGAGAGACATTAATTTCAGGTTAACAGATGAGCTGAAAAAGAGATATTCACATTTTAAGACACAAATGAGTAAATATGTTCCAGTACAAAAGGGTTTACTTTACATTATGTTTGTATTTTGTCTGGTGGCGTTTATAACTTCCCCTGTAAAATTCAAGAAGGAAACATAAAAGCAATGCACAACATTCCTCCTACAATGTAAAATATTCAATAAAAAAGGAACATTTACTTCAACAAGTTCAACTCTGTGGTCTCAGATTTCAAAGAGCTGAATGAGCTCTTTGAAATAGAGTTAGAAATACTCAGGAGAAGGAGAGACACACACATTTATATTCATAAAAAAGCCCAAGTAATATTACTCTCAAGCTAGGCTCATTTTGTGTAATTTTGACAAATAAAGCCAGATCACTAATTAAGAAGAAATGCTGATTAATGTGCTATTTTTAGAGTGTTCCCAAAGTATATTCTGAGGGAGTTGCCAGAGAAGCATCACACGCTAAGGGGTGCCAGATGAAATATTATAGAAAATCTTTTAAATTTCATGTAACTTTATTACCCACACCTTCCAGTAAAGGTTAATCTTATTTTGCAGATACACCCAAATAAGATTATGACCTCTACTTGACACAAACACACAACTCACTTGGCGTAAGCCTTCTCCAGCAGGGAGCTCCAGAACTCGTGTTTGTCTGGGGAGCTGAGGTAGATAAGCTTGTTGCCCTTAGTGGGCAACAAGTCGTCTATCCTCACCTCCTCCCACTGTCCGTACTGCCAGAACTACAGAGAGAAAGAGGGAGTGGTGTTTTTGTCACAGTGACAGTGGCGTACTTTCACCAACTTCAGAAAGATCATAAAAGGTCAGTTTCATATTTATATTCCAAAATCTGCCATCATAGCAAAATTGTTATCTACATTTTTATATTCAACATCAACACACAGAAAGAAAGAAACAAGAAAGATCTGAAACTTAAACTTTCTTTTGTAACTTTCCTTGATTATTTTAAACCCCATGTCTGCATAGGCTATTCACACAACAACTGCAGTTAAATATCTGCTTCCTGAAACTTGAGAATTCAACCATGAAAAATGTTGTTGGTGCACAGCAGCATTCATGTATTTACCCTGAAGACGAAGCATCCATTGTACCCATCTTGGAAGCTCTGTTCTAGAGGCATGACCTTCTGGAGCAGGGAACGATTCATGGAGAGAGATGCAATGGCAGAAAGTAACCAGCAGTCCCCTAAGGAAAGCAGGTTTGAGAAGTAGGTCAGGTTATCAGGAAGGTGCATATACAATACACAGAACTGTTATCATGAACTGTTTATAAGGGGAGAACATTTTTATATATATTGTAAAGTGTAAGTTTTCTAAATAAAGTGTCAGAGAGATATCTGCTTTTGCAAATTAACTCTTGATATTCCTACAAGTATTGTTCTAAGTTGGGACCATGGCTTTACAAGGAGAAATGGATATGGCACTGCATGCTGCCGACTGTTTTGAAAACTCACATTAAAGTGCTGATAGTAAAAACTCTTTCATAGCTGACAAATCCTGCTACTGACATTATCCTTTTAGAATCTGTCTCATAGTATTAAAATACAGTAAACTTCCGTATTGTATTTTAAAGTTTTGTCTAACATCTTGTAAACAACAACTAGACAGGAAGAATAAAAGAGTATAGGAAATGTACATGCAGCATGGACCTCGAGTCTCCATGTAGCAGACTGAGACTCCAGGTGAGTCCAGGTGAAAGCTCAGATGTACATGAGGGTAAAGTCACCTGACCTCAGTTTACCTGGTGATTGTATTTGCAATGTCTGTAACGTTTATCCACCTCTGACTAAAAATACCAATGTGTGATTATTTGTTAAGCACTGCAAAGTAAGTCGTAAGTGTCTGGTGGGGAAAGTGTTTGGCGAACTCATCATGTCTGAAAATACTGTATCATTTAACACTACAGTAGTTGTCTAATTACCGAGTCTTCCCTGGCAGATGTCCAGTCGTGAAGCTCCATCTACTATGAACTGAGGTGAGGCACAGAGCTCCTAGAAATAGTAGGGAGTTTGGGGATTGGTTGAACAAAAGAAGGAGGAGGAAGATGAAATGAGAAAAATGAGAGAGGGGGTAGAGAGGGAAACAGTCAGATGGCAACAAAAAAACAACAACCTGTTGGCACCACGCCAAAGGGAGTGGCTAAACATCAGCTGAAAGAGCTTTAAGCTAAAGGGCATAAATTTGGTTCTCCAGTTCTCCAGCCACTCGCTTTAACCCAGAATCAGAAAGGAAGATCGATATAAGTTACATCTCAGTGCAGTGCTGCCAGATAATTATAATTTCTTTAGATGTACAATTAATTATTCTAAAAAGCATTAAATATAAGATTATCTCAAGTTGGTAGAAACAACTTTCAGTAAAATCCAACAGCACCATAAACTATAGCCTCTCTCAGCAAAAACTGAACATTACAGGCCTGTGGTATTACACCATGTTAGATTTAGTAAGGTGGATTTACAGAGTGTATTTTGTACATATCCTGTTGCGGTAAGCTTAACCTGAACTGCTCTGTCGTCATGGAGCTTTGATAATGGACACATCATCCCACACCATACACAGAGGTCAGGGCTGTAAGGAACAAAGTCATTGTTTACATCCCGACAGTTTTATAGGCTGACCTGTTCTTCAAGCTTCAAAGCTAAAAGGTTTAGTATTAGAGGCAAAGTCAGAGTCACAGTTGTGAAAAGACTGAATACATACGCTGCAATTACAGCCATCTCATGTCACTGTAGAGTAGTGGCTGTATAATAGATATGTTCAGATACTTGATGCATGTTTCCTCTGAAATGTACTGATTGAAGTTAAAAAGGTGTTTACATTGTGAGATTAAAACACATTTAATTAATAACAAGTAGATTATAATTGAGGATGAACACTGCAACTTGCAACCAACAAGCTAAAGTTCATTCAGTCAGACATATTAGTGTGAAGTTGTTAAGGCATCCGATAATAAGATTAATAAAGTGTCAAACTACCACTATGACAAATGGCAAACCCTCTAGCGGAAATAATTATACAACTAAAAAAATGGTTAACTGAAGGTCTATTTTAAGTGAAGTCTGTCTTGGAAGTTTACTTTTTAGGTAAGCAGATGGAGTCTTAAATGTGTTTTCTGCACTAGTGTGTCCTTGTTTTGATCTCAGAGTGTGTTGATGAAATGCCACCATGAGAGAAGATTGGTATGGGAAACATTTGCTGCATGACTAGTAAGAAGACTATCAGACAAGTCTGAAGTTGCTCTTGCTTTCGGTACCTCGATTCTTTTTAAACACTTAAATATTTTTGTATTAGTTTGTTTGAAATTGTCAATTTCTTTCTTGTTGAGAAAGCATTTTTTAAGAGATAGTCATTTGGATACAACACGACTGTAATACACAGGTAGCTGTAACTAGTTTGTTGAACTAAACCCATGAGCACTGTTCTCCTGTGTTCATATTTGTCACGGACTTGTTTTACATGTTTGTGCAAAGTCAGTCTATATACCAAAGCCACGCTCACCAGTCCTTCAGCTGACTGACAGGTGACACTGGCAAGTGTAACTAATCAAACACCAATCATAATGTGAAAAGTAAGACCAGGAAGTTCTTCAATTCCCAAGATAACAGTGGATAGTTCAGCAACCTTAAAGCATTTAGACAATGATAAAAAAAAGTAAATAGCTGTGTAGTTACTTTCATTCTGCCGCCACTACAGAGAGCTGCTTTCATTTCATGTACTGATGCCTTCGTTTGATATGTTACTTATTTACTCACCAACGGCCTGGTATAAGTACACATGTAGGTTTTATCTTATCCCGACCAACTGCTGCCCTGCTCTAATTTGTTTGAGGACAAAAGAAAGTAGTGTATCTGTATCTGTGTATTAATAGACACCACTGGGCTGTATCTCTGACAAAGCGTCCCTCTCTTGCCCTAGAAAGACACTATAGTATAAAACAACAGGTTCACATCTCGCACAAGGCTACAACACTTTTTTACAAATGTTATTTCATGGCTGAGTCACAGCTACATCCAAGTTTAATTCACTAATAGTAAATCTGATTTTAATGAGGCTGTTATGTCAGTTTTCATTATCAACAACCTCTAACACTCTGTCTTTCACTGACAGTATTTAACTTCAAAAGGAATTAATATTGACCCTAATGTCTATTAGAAGTGAACACTTGTGAGGGTGGCCTAGGTGTTTAAGGCGCTGACCATTAAGTGTAATGTCCCCCATTGGATTCTAGCTGGGGATCCCAATTCTCTCTGCCCTTGTTTCCTGTCAGCTTTCTGCTGAATCACTATAATTTACCTTACCGACTTATTATACTTTTTATGAGGATGTTTTCATCCCCCTTCCTTTGTTCCTTAAAGTAACTTAAACCGTGATATGCTGTGGTTGTTAAGTCTGCCGCCTCTACAGCCCTGTGAGTCACTCTGCCCCTCTCCTCCTGTGTGTGTGTGTGTGTGTCCTGCCTCTGTGTGCTGAGTCTTGCATTTTAGTACAGTGGTTGTTTGTTTTAGTGCTTTATGGTATTTTGCTTCTCTTAAGTTCTCAGAATATTCTGTAAGCAAGCTTCCACACGTTGATGAATATCAAAAACAAAATCAGGTTTATTTACAGAAATAAAGTGTTATTTTAAACCTTTTAAACTTCAGTTTTGCCCCATCTCCATATCTTACTAACAATTTTTCATGCAAATTTCCTACTACATCTTCTCATTTCTACTGGGGAGTAAAACTATTTCCAGAATGTTTATTTTGTGCAACTTTTTCCAACAGCGTACTTTCAATGTACTTTTTAAATCACCACATGTATCTGACAGCTGTTATGTTACTTTTCAGATAAAGATCCTCATGCAAACCATGTGTTAAACTCATAATTATGTATATAAGGGAAGTTTTATTATAGGCATATACAAATGCCACTAAAACTTTCCAACAGCAGTGATGGAAGAATATATTACATACTATTACTAGGATTATGTACTGAAAGTATAAAAAGTAAATGTACTATTATATTATTGGAATATTTTACATGTTACATTAGAGGAGATGAAGTTGATCTTATAGCCTACATTGTTGTGTACTTTAATCTGTAACAATGCATTATATTTTATAAATTGATCATATGTTTATATGTACAACTGTAATCTGCAAAGTAACTAGAGAAAACAGCCAAATAAATGTACTGGAGTCAAGTCTAAAGTAGCATTAAATGGAAATACAAGTTCAAGTAGCCTACAGTAGGCTACGTGAGTTAAAGGACTTAATTACTTTCCATCAATGTCTTATTACAGCGCATTAAGTGGTTAAAATGAACTCAACATCTTACATAGCCTACTTATTTTCAATTAAATAGAATTTTGATAATAAAAACACGTGTAATCTTTAATGCTTTTTATGTTGCAGGGTTGCTTCCTTAACCCACCACAGCAGAGCAGGTATTCAGGGTTACTTTTCTTTACCTTTGGTCGTTTCCACTGCACCCCGGGCTGCATCTCCAGCTCTCCCACGGGGAAATAATTGTCCACGTACAGTCCGTCGCGGCCGACCGAGCTCAGGTCCCCGCTCTCCGGAGGCCTGTCCCTGATCCGGAGGTCCGCCAGCCAGATGCGGGACTGAGAGCCAAGCAGCTCGTCGGTGCAGACAGAGTCCACATAATCTTCCAGCGGAGGAAGGGAGTCTTCAGATGTTAAACTCACCGACTTTTTCATGTCTAATCCAACAGCTCTCTATCTATCAATTCTGAAAGTGCGTGTCTGACTTTTATCTGAGCAGTTGACAGATGGGCCCAAGTCACGCCTCTAGGGAAGGTACACTCACAGACCGACGCTCACCTGAGCAGAAAGGAGTGGAGTTCGCTGCTGCAGGATTTCCCTGAAGGTGAGACACTCCCACGCGGTGTAAAAGTTTCAGTAGTTGCCCTGACTTCTCGGTGCAAACGGAATAATGGCCTGCAGTTCCAATAATAATCATGTAGCCTATGTATGCCAAAAGAACTCAAACCCAAGACTCAGGGCTTGACATAAACACCCACCAACAAATGCAGGTGGATTTCAGTCGTGGCGGGTCACACTGACTCCCACTAGCCACTCTGGCGTGTGAAAACTGTAGTCTTTTCAAAAGGCATATGACATAACAAACTAATTGCAATTTGACACCAAGACACTACAACTCCCATGAGTAGCCTACTACAAGACTACGAACAAGACTAAAAGGTGCATCTGTCACAGGGCAGCCACAGCGTGGACTTGTGAAATGTTTTCAGTTAGTTTTGTTTTGCACAGGTATCTAATTTATACAGTCCCAAACGGGTTCTGTACCTGTCTGTCTGGGATATCATATCAGCAGAGCAAGGGATGAAAAGCAGATTACAGAGCCGGGAGATTTTGGAAAAATGTGAATTGTGATTAAATGATGACGTTGTTATCTTAACAAATCTTTCTGGAGATGTCAGATTACACAATTATGCGGGATAGATGCAAAACGTTTTGAACATTCAGTCCAGGAGTTTCTAACTGAATTAAAATTAATTAATTTATCCATGGGGTGGAAAGGTGCCACATTTAAAGAGGAACTTTCCCCAAACAAAGACACAAAGAGGAGGGAAGACTAAATCCTGAAAAGAAAAAGAACTACAGAATGCTTGAAAGCCATAAACCTACTGAATTATATTCTGGTATATTTTATATTTTAATTTGTCACCTGCTGCCTGAGTGATTCTGTTGACATACCCTAAAAACATTTCCACCATAAATTGATGCAGAAAATTTCACCAGAATGCAGTAAATTAAGTGTTTATTGCTAGAAATGTGCCCTCATATCACATCATAATGTCATATCACTACCTTTCCAGAGTTAATTCTATGTTTTAATAATAGTGCCATGTAGGAAAGCAGGAGATGCGTTTGTATGGGAATAATCTGGAAAATAAAGACCTGTGTAATTGTTTTAGGTGGAAGTATCTCCAGTTACTCAGAGCAACCAGAGCTTCATGATGATCAACATAAATCCAGTCAGAGCTCTGAGGAAATGCTGATATAAAAAAGTGCTGAACTGAACAGAATTTCTTATTCTGTTGCCTTAATTGTGAATTTATTCTTAGACAAAAATAATTTATTTTTTGCTCTTTGTTTCTAATGCAGAACATTTTTCTACTCTGTATTTTACTTTACACACAACCTTATCAGAGCTAATACTAGTACATTTTAGCACGGCAATTTAAGCATGCCACTGTCAATTTTAATCATATAAAGCGAAATTTTCCAACAACAAAAATGTGGCTAGTGAAAATGCTGCGTGGCTAGTTACTTTGGAAAACCAAAAAAGCAAAAAAGTTAATGCCAAGCCCCGCAAAGCCCAGTCATCCAAACTAAATGTCAAAAGTTTAATTATATTTTCATGCCAAGCTCTCTCAGATAATAGTTGGGCACTCAAAAAAGCTTTCCTTTCCCAGACTTACACCAGGGGTTGGCAACTATTTGTGTGCTGAGGAGTCCAAGACCTAAGTGTCCTGCCTGGGAATCTCAATACCCCTGTGAGTGGTGATGGCGCAGAGGATGCGACACATGCCTTTGGAATGATAGACCCAGGTTCAATTCCCACTGAGACCCAATGAGCAAGACAACTAACCTGTAATTGCCTCAGAGGTGTGGGACCTCTGACATACATGGAAATTTTAAGTTGCTTTGGATAAAAGCATTAGCTAAATGGGTAGCCTAAATGTAAACTTTCCTGGGCAATATTTTATTTGTAATATAATTTCAAGAATCAATTGCTAACAGAAACAGACAGCTTGCCTCTGTCCAGTGGCACCAGACTGTTTATGGAGGTGTTGGTAGGTGGATTTTGTAACCGTTCCACTGAGATAGGTCTCACTACAAAAAGCAATGCATGTCAGATTTCTCCCAGACAGATTTGAGGCTGCCCTGAGTCATGTCAGGTTTTTATTTGCTTAACAGTGTACAGCCAACACCCTGATTTCACTATAGGATTAACAAGGAAGTCAAATAATTTCTGGGAAGAACTGGCAAACACTCGCATTGAAAGTAGTTAACATGGTCTGATAAAACATTCTGGTGATGAAGCAACAGCGGGGAAGTTTTCCAAGAACGTTCAGAGAGCCGCATGAAGAACCAAACACAGACACAGGCTGGTAATGATAAATTACCTTTATTGAGAAAAGAGGGATTATGAAAAAACAAAATGACCTGGTTGAATCCGTCGTGTCTGGTGTGTACGTGTGTGTGAATGTATGTGTGTGCATCACTGAGATGTTGCCATGATGCTGGACACACCTGTGAAAAGAAAAACAGAAAGATGTGCAGAAACAGAGAAGTGGGAGAGAGAGAGACAGAGAGAAAGGAGACAGAACATCAAGCTTTAGCTTCACATGCACTTTTCACTCATCAACAAAACAAATAATACCCACAGTGTGGAACATGAGCCAGTTTATAATGAGCTTTATGCAAATAAGTGTTTTCCTCTGCTGTTTCCTGTTGTCCTCAACCTCCCATCCCCGTTATCTTGCAGGTGCTGTCCTTTCTCTGTGGTGTCTGTGTGTTATGTTTGCAAAATCTGTCTGGCACAACATGGTATCCAGCTCCTCACACTCTTTACGAGGCTGCTGGGCGGCACAGGTAAAAAAAACTAAAAAAAAACTATTTACAATGACACGAAAGAGGGAAAATACTAATAATGAAAATAAGAAAAGCGTCCTTTAACTATTCTTGATGCTACGTGGAACAAGCAATGATGGTAGTTCTACTATCTTGTTCATTCATTATAAGCAGCAAAGCTCAGAAACAGTCAACTCTTTCATTAGTATAAAATAAGTGTTTCTAAAAAATCATATACAAGTAAGACATGTCATTTTTCCATCTGTAAAAAAAAGCAGCTGTATGCTAGAAGTGAAGTCAACATTAATCAAGCTCAAAATGCATTTAAGCACAAATGGGCAAAACGAAAATGCGATCTGTTCTTTAGCTGAGGCAGCAGACCACATGTGGAAACCTTGAATGTACAAAATTTATATCTAGTCCACCCAAAGAGCCTGTTTCACACATTCTGTAGTTTCTGTCATCAAATTTGTTTAAATTTCTAGTAGGGCTGCAGCTAACAATGATTTTAGTTCTCGAAGCTTCTGATCCCCCCCTATGGTAACGGATCAGCTGTGTAAGTTGATAGATGATAGATATTTATTCGTCCTTTTGCAAATTCATACAGCAAACATCAGACCAACAAGATCAACAATCAGACAACTGCTTTACCAACACAAATATCACCCGAATGCTATAAAGTTATACTAAGGTGCAGCTCCCCGACACCCAGTTAACTCATGACTCACTGCTTGCTTTGGCTGGCCTTCAACTCAACAATCAATCATGATTTCAGTTAAATGCTAAAGTTGCTGTTACCTTGTCTGTGGTCCGCTGGCATAACACTGGGTGCTTTCTGATCAAGTGCGTCGTGCTGTGGCGCTAGGCGAGATAAGTTTTGTTTTAAGGTGGACGGACTGTGGCATTGCAGCGTGAAATAATCACATACTTTGGACACTTTCTTCTTCGTCCCTCACTATTTTCTCTCTCTTCCACCACTATGCAAATAGCGCCGTCATAATCACATCGTGTTCACACAGCGTAAGCGCGATGTGCGACAGTAATAAATGTCCGTCCGAAACAGTGTGCTATATAGTTAGATGGATTAAACGAAGCCTCGATGCAAAGAATTTGCGCCGATACATTTTAGTAATCGTATTAAAAGTAATAATTTCTAGCACATTTCTTTGTTTGTTTATCAGTTTGAGCGGCAGCACTCACTCTCAAAATCGATCTTCTCCACGATGTTCTTGGGCTTGACGCTCTCCTCCTGGCTGAAGATAAAGATTTGTCCTTCCTCGTTCTCCGTCCAGCCGTACTTATTCATCCAAACCTTCACCTGCGTGTCTGGAAAAAAAAATGACAAAGTGCTTGAAGGTGGAAGATTCAAGTCAGTTTTGTCACTGTAGTCATTTCATTTGCTTTATCATTAAAATAAAATATAAATATTGATTAGTGGCAATTAAATTGTATCATCTTTTCCAGCAAGAAGTCCAGCATACCATCTCACACAGTGGAAGCACATGAAGGCATTTTATTGGTCTGAAGTAGTACAGATTTGCTTCATTGAGCTCTGCAGGTCTGTTTTTCTAGATTAGGGTTAAAATTCTTACCCAGTGGGTCTCCCAGCATCTCGGCCAGTAACCGGTGCTCGATGGTCTGGTAGGTGATGCCCACTACATGGCAGATGACTGAAGGGGAAGATGAATTAAACAGACACTGTTCAAGTCTTACAAACACTCGTCTCATTCACTAAATATTTAATATTGTCTTTGGTTGTTTTCCTGTTAAATGAAATCAGCTGCTTGTGTTTACTGTAAGAACTTCACATCCACTGTGGGAAGTCAGAAGATGTTACTCACACTTGCGAACAGAGTCCTCAAAACCGGTAATGCCATCGATGAGCTCTCTGTTCTCCTCAAGACTCGTCTGTCCGGAGAACAAAGAAGAGGATATGATAAATTGATGCCACGCAAACACTTTCGCAAGTTTGGAAAAGAGGAAGAGAACAAATTGTATCAGAACGAAGAGATGTTTGACAGAGATGTCGCAATAAAAGAAAATGAGGTATGCTGGAATGACATTTAATGGAGGATTAGTCAGCAATAGAAATCCTGATACAACAGGTGGCTGTCAAGCCCTGCTAGGGTTGTGTAATAATGACATTACATACACAACTATGGTGGCTGGACATGTCCTCGGACCCCCCGAGAGGGTCAGAGGGCATGTCCCCCTGGAAGAACATTTTGTACATTTTTAAGTTAAATGCATTAATTTGGTGCAAAATTAAGAGACTATCTATGAATAACTTTGCACTCTTGTAAACAATGTTGTGCTCTAGGAAACTATTTAATCATAAACCCATTGTATAGCTATAAATGGTGATGAAACAGCAACAAAAGTCAACAAATTTATTTAATGTTTTTCCAGCAACCCTAATTCAGGATAGAAAATAAAATAAGTAATTTCCCTTACATTTTACCGTTGTTGTTTTTTACTTTTAATGGACACATGTAATATGTTTTTATTTGGACGTTGTCACATGTTGTCTCATCAAGTCTGATGCAATTTGATAAATTACGTTGTATGTGGTTCTCGTATTGCGTAACATGATGACTTCACAGCCTCTCTTCACGTAGGACTCTCATACTGCAACACTTGTCTTTGTATAGAGTGAAACTGACAGGATAAAGTCGCTAACCTGCCTGTCAGCTCGCTCTGGGCCGTTTCAGTGGATTTACCATAAAGGCTTTAAATTTAGGCGCGGCTAGCTTAAACCAGTGGCAGAAACAGACGGTTAACATTACCGTAGTTACCTCAAAAGAAAAGTGGTTGCCTCGAGTCGGATGCCAAAGTGTGTGAGCATGCGAGCTCGCAGCAGTGACCACAAAACACAACATTAGAGGTCTGAAATGTTATTATGAGACGTGTAAAAATATTTTCGAAACTATGACAGAGCAAATTAGACTGTGGGGGGGGCGCCATGGTCTCGTTAATTAATGGGAAACACTGCATTAGTTAGCACAAAAAAAAAGGACATTATCTTTGGTATAAAAACAGTGTTATAAATGACTGAATGATCAGATGAAGTTGTCAGTTGTGTAAATGTATAAACATGCTGTGGTGTGTGTTTGAGATTCTTAATACTGGTTCTGACGATCCACTTAAAAAGTCATAACATCAAACATTACAGCTTCTTGATACCTGTTGCATGTCGGAAGATAAATTCCTCCTGTGTTGCTCTTCCTAAGGTTCTTCTTCTTTTTTTCCTGTTAAATGTATGTAGCCAAAGTGTGTGTGTGTGTGTGTGTGTCGTACCCAGAAGCTCTGGAAGTGACATGTCTCCAGCAGGTTCCCCAGGTAGAGGATCTGTCTGATGGGGCGCTCCTCTTGCTGCGACACTGTAGTCAAGGAAATGCCCCGCCAACCCCAAGACACCTCCCTCCCTCCCTCCCTCCCTCCCACCCACCCAAGGATCCATTTACACCTACACTCAGAAGCTAAAATCAGCTTTTAAACTCAAAAGAAAATACGATTTGATACTTATTGTGATAATTATCGATATTGAAAGATATTAAACTTTTATCGTGATAACATTTTTGGCCATATCGTCCAGCCCTACACAATCCCAATACTGTCTCCTAACAAGCAGGAGTCTGAATGTGAATAAACAAGTCTCCACTAAATAAATAAAACAAACAAACAGCAGGCATCTTTGCGTGGAGAACAACAGAAAGATCAATCTCTACCTGAACAAACAACAATCATAGCCGACAAGTTTACCAAGAATGTTAACAGCAGACACAGATTTGTGAGAACCTGCACCTCACAGTACAAAACAGTGACTTTAAAAACCAGCCTTGTACATTAGCTTCACGAAACAGCACCAAAAGGATACGTGAGTCTGGTCGATCATGCACTTGCAGAGAGTGAAGTCGGTGTGCGGCAGGTTGGTCAGAGCCTTCAGCAGAATCTGTGAAGTCACTTGAACCTGGAAGTAGGCTGGGTTGAACTGGTACCTGCCAGAGATTTAACGATCAGAGCTTTCTTCGCAGAGGACTGTACATTACTTAATTTCTTTTTCTGGTCTCAAGTGGATACGAACAATTTGTACCATGCATGTTAAATGTTACTATAACTTGGGTTTTTCTTTAATCCTTGCTGTGGTCAACAAGAATGCAAGATGTTCTGAAAACCTACAGAAGAAACTAACAGCATGAGGAAACGGCAACAAAGCTACACAATGATTTTAGAGATTAAGAGACTCCAGACCATTCTCAAAGTGATCAAACAAACTTTTCTATGATGGTGTAACTTACAGCTTTAGGACAGCCAGGTTGGCCTCCAGGTCGTAGGCGTTTTCTTTAGCTTGTGTGTCCACGTAGCGCTCCAGCGTTGCAAGGTTTTCTGGGTTGTATCTGTGAGGAGAGACAAGATAAGATAATTTCCTATGAACGAAGTATAGACGGCTTCATTGTTTCTGTTTCACTAAAGGCCAGAAGTTCTCAGCGCCTCATAATTTAGCATATTTAGTTAAATGTGTAGCAAAGCAGTGACTGTCAAATGTACGAAAACACACAAGTTAGGAGTAAATATCCGTGAATTATGTAATTTTGATCACTCTAACCAGCAGCAAACAACATAGTGTAAAGTTGTGTTATAATAAACACTTATACCAGATACAATATGCTGGCTGTAACCTTAGCGTAGGTCTGCTACACCCGTCGATCCGTTCTTCCAGATTCCCACAGGTGTCGTTTGTGAGACTTGATGCTCAAAGACAATTTCAAGTAAATAAAAAAATAAAAAATTTCCCCAGAATAATAAAAACGTGGATTTTTCTTTTTTGTGACTCATATTTGTCCCCATGATGTTCCACCAAAGACTCATTACCAGGTATGTGAACAACTGCTGCCTTAATGTAAACAATCATGAGCAGGTAATATCTGTGTAAGTATGGAGCTGTGGTAAATTACAGCAGCAGTGAAAAAGTCAACTGACAAAGTAACTTTTGTTGTGTTTCTGTGAATATAGCTATTTACATTGAAAATGTATCTTTGATTATAAATGTATTATTTTTGTAGATGCATTTTTGTTTATTATGGCATTTAGGGTATAAACACGCACAATAAATATAGGTGTTTCAGTACTGGACATTATGGAGTTTTTGTTTTGATGTTTATCTGTTTTTTAGCACTTTTATTTATTTATTTATTTACTTACTTACATGTTCGAAATAAAGATATCAATCTACCACAAAATTTTTGGAGTTTTTAAAGAATATTTAAAGAATATCAAAGTAATTTTGCAGCAGTTCTGAGTAACCAGAATTAGCTTGTTGGAGCAAATGTCAGCCTCAAACACCAGCCTTCAGAACAACTTATAGCTTTAAATTGATTACTATTCTTCTGCTTATCAGAAGACCAGGTGGATCTTTGACATCGGTAACGATTGTTTTAACGGCACAGAGGCAAGAAACGCTCATTCTGTGATCTTAAAACGTTTTTCAGAGTGTTTGTAGTTCACGTGAGCAGACCTAGCTTTCGTTAGCTGCTGTTGTAATCTATCATGACAGCTCCTGCAATTTTAATGGTCGTTTAATTTGCTAACTCGATGAGCTGATAGACAAAAACAGACCATAAAAGTGATGAATTGCGCAGAAAACTTCAGTAAATGGGCTTAAACCGCCTCTGACTTATTGATAGCTCAGCAAACGTTAGCTAACTTACAAACATAAGCAAACCGGCTAAGCTATCGTTAGCTTGTTCGGCAGGTTATCAATTCGTTAACAGCGTCATCCATACCGATCGATTCCTCGCAGCAGCTCGCCCACGTTCGTCCTCATCTGCTCGAAAGACGACGACATTTGGTCCAAACTTTTACAGCAAACTTTAAGGTGAAAACCGAATTAAATCCACACGTGGGCCGTAGGATAGAAAAGGCACCGGGGCGGAGGGAGAAAAGGGTCGGACTGGAAAGAACGACGCACAGCCAGGCGGAACGGAAAGTGGACGGACACACACAATTGAGGGACCGCTACCAGGCGCTCGCTGGTACAAATCTTATATACAGTCTATGGTAAAAATACACCTGACACGTCGTAGCGTTTGACTTTAGTGTATTTTATAATCAACACATTAATTTGAAACTATTTCTTTTACGACTTCCTTTTCCCTGTACTTTGAAAGTATTTACCGGAAGTTATTCGTGGCTGCATTGACGCTAATTTTACTATATTAATGTGTTGCAGTTTTTCACTGTGGCCACGAGAGGGCGGTAAACATCATTTCAAATATATTAGCGCCAACTAAATTCAGAGAGTGGAAAGGATGCAGGAGTAAATTATTATCATAATTATTATTATTATTATTGTGTACATGTCGGAGGTGGATGTGATATACAGGTGCACATACACATACATGCATACATGTACACAGTGAGATGGAGCACAGTGCAAAGGATGCTGGAATAAATAAGTATTATGTGCAGGTGTTGTGGATTTGGCATACAGTATATAAAATATGACAATATGAACAGCTCTAAATTAGAGAATGAGGAATAAATAAGAAGTGGTAACCAGTAAACAGGTGGCTGATTAGAGGCAGAGTTACTGGGTTATTGCACAGGAATTGTTCCTGACACTGAGAGTCATAAGTCAGCTGTTCATCAGAGTGATGGCTTATGGGAAGAAACTGTTCCTGAGTCTGTTGGTTTTGGCGTGCAGTGCTCTGTAGCGCCTACCAGAGGGGAGAAGCTGGAACAGGTTGTGTCCGGGGTGAGATGGATCTGCAGTGATGTTTCCTGCCCGTTTCCTGACTCTGGAAATGTATAATAGTGTATATGTATAGTATGTGTATAATGTATAACAGGTTGGCACCGATGATCTTTTCTGCAGTCCTGACTGTCTGTTGTAGTCTGCTCGCAGTCGTGGTCTAAAAGGTTTTTGAAAATACCAAATTTTTTAGTGTGAATAATACAGATCTTATTACTGACAATCTGTAGTAATGTTAAATATTTTTAAATACTTTGTTGTATACCTTCTTGTTGTTTTGTTGACCACTAGATGGAAGTAAAACGTGTCGTAATAAATAGGCCTATATTGAAGATTTGGTTTGGTTTGTGTTAATAAATATGAATGTCTATTATTGCCACAGGAAGACTATTAAGTTGGTGTTTCTAACTGTACAAAGTCGAGCTAAATCCAGAACTGTCCATGACAGTGATTAGGACGTATAAAAAATATAGATAATGATGCTGAATATCTTGCTAGCACCTGCATTTATCCTTCGGCGGCTGTACTCAGATAAACTGGTTTCTAGTAAATAAGTTATCTGTTTAGATTCTCAGTGATCCAGGTCATAGTCCTCCAAGGAAGATTAAAATCAAGGCAGCTGAACTTAGTTGAAGATGCTCAAAGGCGTTTTGACTCTTATCCGACTGACTGGCAGGAATCCCAGTTATTTAACCTCTGTGGGGTCTTTGTCAAGATGATCAATGCAGCTTGTTAGGGCTCCTGGCCAAGTCTGAACGATCGTTGGTCTCATGTGAGAATGCGAACGACAGTCTGTTATTTAACACAATTAGTTATTTTAGTTATGTTGTAAATAGAGTGAAGTGTCTCCCTTCATGGGAAGTATTGCTAATGTCAGCTGGTAGTAGCAAGTGCGCTTACTGAAGGCTCCTAAAGTCAACCGTTTCAAGCTGGTGGAGACTCTTGACACAATAAGACCTGGTTCAGTGATGAGACATCAAATGACCATCATGATTGAGGGGAAATGTGTGACACCCCAAACCACAAGAGTGTGTGTGTGTGTGTGTGTGTGTGTGTGTATATATATATATAGATAGATATATTTGTATACAGAGATAGAGAGAGGGTAGAGTGTGTGTAAATATACCGTTAGCACCTTTTACTCCACACCTTCCCCTCTGTGCACTCCCCCTGTCTGACCACAGACACAACACTATGGCCTTATAGTTTGTGCTTCGATCCATCTGACATTCACCCACAGTCAAAACAATGTATTAACAGCCAACATCTCTTTCCACTTACCTCCATCCAGAAGTGTCAGAGGTCAGGACCAGCTGCAGAATGACCCACACTTCAGAAGAAAGCTGCTTGCTGACACAGGTGGGCGAAACAAAGCTATATATATAGCTGTTCCTGTGAGCTCGGTGACCGTCTGTCACATTCACACACCTGAAGATGTTTTCAGTTCACCTGAGCAGCAGGTCTCAGGTCAGTGATGTGGGACACAAGCAGAAAACGAAGGTTATCATATAGTAACCCTAGTTCTATGACCGCAGGCAGAGTCCTCTACTGGTGCTACCTCCTCCAATCACACGTACGCACTTGTCCACTGAAATGTTTATTGTGCATGTAGCTGAGCATGTACCCCTGAGAAGGTCGCTGGACCAATAGGTGCTTGGCCTGACCATTAACATCTGGACTGCCCTGTATTCTCATTGCGGGTCGCACTTGCGAGCACGAATCCCGAGAAGGAGTCAAACATATCCAAGATATAGAAATGCACCAACAGGCACGGTAAGGGCCACGATGCCATAGTGCCGATCTCTTTGACATACACCCCACTGAAAAGGGTCGTAGACACTGCCACACTTTGAGTGGAATGTGCACGCACCGCTGAGGGTGTCTGTTCCCGCCAGAGTACAGGATTGGGAGATTTACTCACAAAGCCAGCTAGCCAGGCACTGAAACAGGTGAACAGCTGACCAGTGTGTTGAATGGGGGCTGTATGCTCTACATAGGATGTTAGAGCACACACCGGACACAACAGATGCAATCTCGCCTTCCTGTACCCAAAGTGGAGTGGAGGGTAGAAGGCATGGGCGTTTCCAGGCTCTTGAGTGTGCTTACTTTACCGCAGGGGTGTGGGGGGTCTATTACTCTGTTGAACTGTATGTAAAGACGTCAATAAAATGCATGTTGCAGACTGTATATAAGAAGGTGGCAGGTGAAAGTGCGACGCGTTTTCTGTCATCTGTCTACTAAATCTGTCTAAACTAAACCAAATACCAAAATACACTGCAGGGGGGCTTTAAACACTTAATTTTCTGCATTCTGGAGAATTTCTTTGCACCAATTTATTGAGGAAATGTCTCAGGTGACAATTCAAAATAAGAAGAATATAGTGTAATATAATGCAGTAAGGCTGCTGTCAGATATGTTGTAGATCAACTTTTCTCTTTTAATTTAATCCCAGCTGAGTCTACATACATGCAGGCATGCCTGAAGTAGCCTAAAGTCTTTGTAAATGTGCATATGGCACCTTTTCACCTCAATGATAAATTAGCTTAATTAATGTAAATTCAGTGAAGAGTTATTTATTGACAAAATATTCAATAGGGGGGTCAGAATTTTGAGCATTAAACACTTAATTTCCTGAATTCTCGAGACATTTTCTGCACCATTTTACGCTGGAAATGTCTTTATTTTTATAAAGGGAAGGACAAATTTTAGGTGGCAGGTGACAATTCAGAATATAGAAATATAATAGAATGTAATGTAGTAATAGGTTTTTTTTTTTTTTAGTTTATATCTACATATCGGTTATTTTCGCGCATTTGGCGAATTATTATTATTTTGGTCCACAACACAAGAAACAGCTCGAGCAGAGGGGGAGGGGGGGCTAATAAGAGATGTGATTGGGCCAGTCCAATGTCAATATAGGCCTGATGCTTTATGGGCCCATTTTTTAAAAAACTGGTAGGCCTAGGCCAATATAAATAAATAATTTGACTTGTAACCAACTCGACGAAAGGAGCGCACTGCTCTTCATCAGAGGAAGAAAACCGAAACTGAAAACACTTGTGGTCAGACAGAAATATCACCACAATTCCACACCAATGTTCACTTCAGCACTTCTGACAAAGTGCAGATCACAGATCTGCTTTAGAGAGAATGAAGCATCCTGGAGCAGAGAGACAGTCAAACAGAGCAAAGTGTCTCTGAGCGAGTGGTAGAGACACAGCAGGACACAGAGGACAGGTGTCTGCGTCGCGGTCAGGTGTGTCATGATATTCTCTCGCTACTTTGCGGCGACTGTTTGTGTAACTTTACACTGACAGACAACATTTATATTTAATTGTATTTATTACAATTTTGCCAGGGACAATTCAGAAGTGGCGACCTGGCGACGCCGATGGTAGAAGGCATCCAGATTTAGTGAGCAGTTTGTCCCATGCTGAAGAAGAAAGGATGCTGAGGCAGTAGGGACACTGCTATTTATACGCCACGCACGTATCGGTAGTGACGTCCTATTGGTCGGCTACATGCACAGTGTAATTGGAGGAGGTAGTACCCATAGAGTCCAGTAGGGGGCGGAGCCTGTGTGAAATAGAACATGCAAACTGTGCACGGTGGTCTGTGCCCGTCTTCAATAATTTTGTCATCAGTCCTGCTCCCGTAGCTGTGCTGGGGTTGAGGCAGTTATTTGTGGTTAGCTGGCCGGTTCTGTGTCTGTCACATGTGGGTGTGTGTGCGCCACAAAGCAGAAACGAGACTGTAAGCAGCCTCCAGACAGAGCTGAGGGAAGAGGAGGATAAATGTCAAGGCCTGAAGATAGTATCACTAGAAGTTTGTTTGTCAGTTTGTTCTTTTCCTTAACCCTTTAACGGACAACGCACATTCAGCTGCTTTATTGGCTCCTGTTACATCGGTGGCTTCATCATAGTACATTACGCAGCGAGTAGTAGTACTGTACTGTACGAGGACTTTGCATCTGCTTTTGTGCCTCTTCTTAAGATGACACGAAAGTTTGAACATCCTGCAGCAGCAACTTTCTGCAAAGGTAAAACAACCAAGCAAAGAAAAAAAAAAAATACAGGAAGCCGCTGAGAAAATACGATCAATATGTTTGCAGACTTGATGTGAGACTCTTTGACCTGAAACTCTCTTCTGTGACAATGTTTAGTCATGTTAGCAGCATGTCAGTCTGTCTGTGGCCGGTCCACCAACTGTTTGACTCTTTGCCATTAAATTTTGATCATGGTGCCCAGAGGATGAATCCCGCTGACTTTAGTAAACCCTGACTTTGTGTCTAGCACCACCATGAGGTTAATGTTTAGGGTTTTAAATAAGATGTCTTGATGACTCTTGGATGGTTTTCCATTACATTTGGTACCGCATTGATGTACCACTCAGGATGAATTGTAATGACCTTGGTGATCCTTTTGGTGACTTTTCCTCAAGTGCGATCATCAGGTCTTAGTTTGAATGTGTCCAATACTTCAGTTTATGACCAAATACCTGCAAAAATATAGACCTCACCATCGTCTCAGCTGTCCTCTGTCCTCAGCTGTGGAGACTGACTGCAGAGTCAGGTCAACATGGCGGTTGTTGACAGCTGTGGGCCTGGACGAGCTGTAAGATGCGGGAAGAGCCAGAGCGAGAGTAGACGAGAAGGGAAGTTGGAAGCCAGGAGCAGTGATTTGGCCACCGCTGCCAGCTGTCTATCTGGACACTGTTGTAAAGGTTCAAAACACTCTGTGATGTTTGGGTACCACCTGATGACCCCTGCTCCAGGCCGAAGACTGCGGTTACCTCATAAGGTAATCGGAGATTGCACCCTAACAGGTGTATGCTACACATGAACATGGTAAAGATGATATCTGCTTAGCATCAGCATGTTAGCATTGTCATTGTGAGCATGTTAGCATGCAGGTGTTAGCCTTTAACTCAGAGCTCTGCTGTGCTTAAAGCTGCCAGGATGCTTCTTCAGAACTGCTTGCGGGACGGTCTGACAGCAACTACGAACTATCAGTTTGAGGATTAACCCAAAGTGCGGCTCAAACCTGAATTACACTATATCTGACTTTATATATCTCTTTTTAAATGTCCTTCTGTCTGTGTGCTCTGCTGATGCTGTACTGTGTCCATACTATCCAATAATCATCCAGTAGAAGAATAATGCGTTTTCAGGCCAGAAATACAGTTGACAAAGAGATTTTAACTTGTTAACAGGATGTAACGGGTGCCCCTTATTTATCTGCGGGGAAATGCTTCTGAACAGGAAGCTGACAGGGAGCTCCAAGCACGAGTGACTTCTTGCAGAGCTGCAACACACACACACACACACACACACACACATTTCAGTAGGCGTAAGGCTGAGACTGAAACTTACGCTGAAAACCCCAAACAGCACAACTGCCATTAATCAGTTACAAGTCACACATATGTAGAGACCCATATGTTCCCAAAGTATACGCACACACACACTTTGTATTGATCTTTGTATTGATCTTTGTATTGATCTTTGTATTGCCATCGTGATGATCTTAACCTTTAGCTCTACCCCTATAAGCTCTTGTGAAAACTGGCAGGATTTCGTCATCTTGATCTTTAAATTGTTTTTATACGTTGATCCTCACCAGAACACACACACTAACAAAGAAAAAATCAAACACGCAAATCTGTAAGACATTAATATAAAAGAAAACTCTCAAAAAGCTGTAACTTCTCTGTCACATGCACACACACCCAACATGAAGCAGAATTGGATTATGCAAATGAGCTGAGAAAAAAATGCTTGAGAGAGGGGAGAGGAAGGTGTGAGAGATAGAGGGAGGGACGGAGGTTGGGAGTATCGATAGCAGACTGAGAAACAGGAAGGTGTGTGTGTGAGAGAGTAGCTGAACACCACACATCAAGACGGTGAAACAAAGAGACGCCGAGCAACTTCTCTCAGCCGCTCACTGTTTCTGACAGTTTTGTTGCCTGTAGACGTAGATGTAGCCGCAGAGTGTGTGAATGTGTGTGTGTGTGAGAGAGAGAGAGAGAGTGTGTGACATGCCTGAGGAAGAATATTAGCAACATAAATATCGAATGGATTTCCAACACAGGGCGGCTCTGGATATCTCCACCAGGAACCCTCAGGATGATTTTGAGATCCTGCTGAGAGTCGGAGGAGGAACCTACGGAGAAGTTTACAAGGTGAGAGCCTTCAGCTGCTTTTAAACTCTTGTACTGCTGCTGAATGTCACTGATCTCTGAACAGAGTTTCACCTCATATCAGAAAGTGGTTTGTGACAAATCTTTGCATCTTTGAAAGAGAAGGGCTTCTTGAAACTAGAAACTAATTTTAAGATCAAATACAGAGTAAATTCATCAGTATGAAGGGGATGTTCGGCATCTCAAGTCATGCATGTCTCACTTCTGCCTACCGCTCAGTTATCTGTTTCCCTTCACGGTGTAATGAACACTGTATGATTAGATCATTCGGTTTCTCTGGGATGAATATATGGTGTTGTGCTCACTGGGAATTTCTTGATTATACTGAAAGGTAACATAGGTGTGACTGATTTTAGTTTCATTGGTTGATTGCAATCACAACTTCGGTGGAGGCTCCAGCCCTGCTGGAGGAAGTGGTTTTAAGAAGTGAAAGTGTTCTTGTCAATAGCTGATAGCTTTTTTGAGAATTTTACTCCCAAGTGAAAGAGAAGTTGACGTGAACTCTGGATTGTAATGAAACTACTTTTCTTCAAGGGTTGATTTCATATTTTCACTTGTGTAAAAACTATTTCAGGACATCAAATTTGGAAGGACAGACCTTCTGTAAGATGGTTCAGCTTCAGTCAGGGGTCAAATGCAGTCTGTTTTATTCAGATGTGACCTTGACTCTGACCGGGCCCTTTCACACATTCTCACATCCTTTCCACGTGGTTTTAGTTGTATTGGAGTTAATGGTTCTCCTTTCATGTTCAGCTGGGAAAAATAGACTTTATTGTAACATGCAAAGTATGATTAAAGTTTGAAAAGATGGTGAGTCAAGTTAAAGGCTAACTTCTGTATTTTTCAAGCTGGACCCATATGTTTTTGTGTCTATGTGACTCATTGGGACATTTTTTTTAATGTTTGGTCCAGTATTGAGTACATGATTGCATGTTGCAGTCAGCAGCAGCAAAACAGGGCTGCAACATTATCCTTGTGGGCAATTGCGCCCTGTCAAAGTACGTCCACTAAAGTTCTTGGTTTTGCCGCTTACAGGCTAAGATTGTTATTTTAAGTGTCTGGCAACATTAAAGAAAGGATCCCTGCAGAGATAGAGCTGGGGTTTTTTTAAGAGTAAGAAACATTACTGTTTTTATCAATGGACTCTGGAAGTGACTGTTTGTGATGTGCGTGCTCGCTCAATACTGGACCAATTTCAAAGTTGAAAAATACTGAAGTTACCCTTTAACACGAGTGAAAAGCCGGAATTTGAGCTGCTGTGTTTGTAAGTCTGGATGTTGAACAAGAACTGGTTTCCTGGCAACATCAGTAAGGTCTGAGGTCTTTAAACAATATATCTTATTTCTATAAATATGCATAAAAATAGCAATGCTGTTAGACATTTCATGCCACTCTGTCGACTTATCAAGCAACTCCAGGCAACAGTGGAGAAGTCTCCACAACACATCTGGTACAGTATCAGTGCAGAGGGTCGGTTGTGTAGGTGAACAGGATTCTCAGGATTCTCAGGTACTTTACACAAAACCAGCCACACCGGAAACAAACATGAATGGAAAAGTAAAGAAGTTGTCACAGTCATAACTCACATCTGAGTTAAAATCATCACCATCATTTATGGGAATTTAAACTGAGCATTAGTACTTTAGTCCAGAACCAACCTTCCAGCACTCATTTGAGAATGAAAGGTTCATTTGACCCTTTCAGTTTATCAATCTTCCCCCTGACTAACTCATTTACTGTAAGGGTTTGAGTTAACTGGCAACACTTAGAGCCAATACTAGCAGTTTACTGTGACAGACTGTGGAGGTCAGGGTGGATGGATGGACCAACTTCTCAGCTCATACTTCAAGCCAGCGTCAACTTTTTCTTAATATCTTTGTCTTTTTTATTTGCCCATACAGAAACATACATATCTTAACTGTGAGTTAGGAGTGGATGTTGTATTAGAAACAAATAGGTAGTGACACAGTGCAACATAGAGTCCAGTAAGGACTCTATGTTGCACTGTGTCACTACCTATTTGTACCCTAAACTAACCAACAGTAATTTAACACACCCTCTGTCAAATGTATTAGAGGTCTTAGAGAGACACGGCTAACATATGATCTTTTTGTGGTGCGATGTCAGCTGTTATCCAATTATATAGTACCAAAACCACACTGTGAAGGTAATGGGCAGTTTTTGATGCGCCGTCGGCCTGGTACAAACAATGTGCCTCTGCAGTGTAGCATGATGATGACGACCAAGATGCGAAGATACAGACAATGGCCCTGTCACATCTCACTATTGCTCTGTGTTTTCGTAGGCAGTGTGTGATGTTTGTCGGTGTAAATAGTACCTGGTGAGACTGCGTTTAAGTAATACTACAGAATGGAAAAATGTCTTCTTGTGAATTTTGTGTGAATTTTTGATATTCCTCAATCACGATGCGTTTTTGGGCCAACAAAAAAGCAACTTAAAAAAAAAAAATCTTCGGAAAATTGTCCCCACGGCAGGCCATGTCAGTAACCTCCGTTGTCACATTTGACCAACATCAGCTGCAGGACAACAACCTCCAAAAATGTAAACCCCCAAAAAACTTGTCAACAATAATTGAAACCCGTAAGTGAGCTATGAATGTTTCTTCTCTTGTAATATAATCAAAGTAGGATAATGTTGCAGCGTGTAGGCTAACGTTTTACACTCAGTTTAGTTATTGTTGGCCAATCGTCAATTAATTAATTTTACTTGAGTCACAGATGCCTTAATAAAGCCAAGGATCAAGCTGCAGAACCTCTCTAGTAAAATCTATACAATAACTGGGATTTAAGTAGATAAATAAGGGCAGGCAGGAGGGCATGTGAGCAAGCTTTCTGCATGTGACAACCATTTCCATTATCTGGTACCCTATGCGCCTTTTTGCAAGCTGGTAATGAAGTAAGATTTTTCACCGTGTTGTTTCATGCAGGCCATCTAAAGCTGGACAACACGGTAGTTATAGTTTTTTTTTTTTATTATTACATACGTAAGTAACGCAGTTTTTAAGATTTACAGTGTAAAAGTGGTTTAATACTGGTAAAATTTAACATGAAACCTTCCTGGTACTGACATTTAATACCACCAACAAGTAAAAATATTAACTAGCACAACACTTCTTATAAAAAACAATGTCTGAATTCCAGTCAGCCTTATATAATGCTAACATACTAACAATACTCATTTTAAATGTTAACATTGTTATAGGCTTTCAGTCTCATTGATTGGATAGTGTCCTTGTTCAGGTGTCTGTCTCGTAGACTGGTTGGCATTTCTTTATGATAGTTCAGGTAAATTTGATGTATTCGTTACTTTAGTGTTCTGCGAGGATTAGCCTGCAGGTTATTGCTGTATATGAATCTGCTGAAACCATGTGATTTCAATAACTATAGCTGGTATTGATTTGTAATAAGTTTTAAAATGTCTTGTATCAGAGACATGTTGCAAATAAGAGCCTTCTCTGGAAGTAACCTCAACACACAATAGCAGTAGGTCAGTTATTCTTGCCTTTATTCTCCACTCTCTCGCCATGATCTCACCAGATGTGTAAAGAATAGCATGAAAAAAGTCTTTTATAGCACCTCTGGGCTTGTAATTTACCTTGGAGTGGCAATTTGTATTACACCTGTGTGTATTTTATTTTATAACTTTGGAAAATATGAGGCTTTACAGAGTTAATCTCTACTGTGACTAAACTGTTCAACAATGAAACACAGTAAACGGTAAATGTAACTGATGCAAAGTAGGTTAGCTGCAGACTGAGCACACTTCCTCTAAACAGGTCAGTAGAACCGGCTGTTCTGTTTTACAAAGAGAGAGAGATTTGCATAGTTGTGCTTTCTTCACATATGGACACACATACACCCACATAAAGATTTGATCGCACACACACACACACACACACACACACATGTGCTCCCAAGTTCATGTTTTTGGCTACATGTATACACTCACACTTTAGCGGAGGTCAGCCCTGCAAATGCAGCACTTTTGCACCATCAGCAGCAGTGAGAAAGTAGGCCTTATAGATGTGTGTGTGTGTGTGTGTGTGTGTGTGTGTGTGGTGTGTGGTGTGTGTGTGTGTGTGTGTGTGTGTGTGTGTGTGTGTGTGATGACCACGATAGAGAGCAGTTTTTGGTGTCACTCGTAGAAGGCGGGAAGGTCAGGGGAATCAAAACAAACTCACAGTACCAAACACCTTCAGAAGGATTAATAAAAGGCGTGAACACCGACATCAAGATAGTCACAGTGAAGGATGTGGCGGCTGTGCTGGATGAGTCAGATTGGTGTAGTACAACTGGCAGCATTTTTTTTTTTTTCTTTCTGTGTGTGTCTGTGAATTCATGCTATGGTGGCTATCACTACTCATGGTTTATTTGGTAAAATAATGTGATGTGAACTGCATCAGGTTCTGTGTGCGAGACGCTGTTTACCTCAGAAAAGAGCTACTATATAAAGTGTCTAGATCAACAAAACTTTCATGAATTAAATGTTAATGAATCACTTTTGTGTCATACAAATCAGCAACACAGAGTCTCAAAAATAGTAAAACATTCTACAAAAAGTTATGAAATTAAAAAGCAATAATGAAATTGTAAATGACAGGAGAAAAAAAAGAGAAACAGAAGCAATTCAAAGACAAATGAAGTAGTATATGGCTACATGTAACAGATGTAGTGGCATGCACCCAAACAACATTTTTGCCTACTGAGGCATCACAAAAATGTGGCTGGTTTTACATGTTGGACAGCAACACACAGCAAAAGGTGGATGTGTGCAGTAACCAACAGGCACACATCAAAAGATTGTTTTCTGTGTCAAGTCAAGTTGAAGTGAGTACGCTGGAATACACTTACAAAGAGAACAATTTCCTTGTGCTTTGAAATAAGGACGTATTTTCTTCTTCCAAAAGATGACATATTCTCATGTGTATATAAAGAAATGCTCTAAATCAGGGGTTTACAAAG